ATCACCATGCTTCTCAAGTATTATTTACGTGGGCCTACCTGAAGTATCTACCAGGTAGGGCTCTGCATACAGTTGTAGTTCGGTTTCAAGGAGGTTCCTTCTGTAATAAAGACAGCAATACACTTTGAAGTGCTTCATATCGGGGTTCTCTACAGTTAATGTTGTACAATGTCCAAGTAGATGTAGAATTCCTTAGAAATTGGGGAAACGAGGTCGGCAGATGTTACAGAGAAGGAGAAAGAATAAACCGGAGAATAAAATAAAAGTAGAGGATTGGAATCACTCACTCACTCGTGGAAGTGAGCCCTTCTTGAGAAGCTGATAATTGTGCAGCCACTCAAGAATTTCGCAGCATTTTATGGAACCCCAGGGTTCATTGCCGTGTTCACAAGAGCACTACACCGAACCTATCCCGATCCAGATCAATCCAATCTAAACCATCACATCCTACATCTCTACAATCAATTTTAACATTGTCCGCCCACCTATGTCTTGGTCTTGCCAGTGGCCTTCTTCCTTCCGGCTTTCCCACCAATATGCATTTGCATTCCTCATCTTTCCTATTTGTGCAACATGCCATACCCATCTCATTCACCTTGACTTGATCGTTCTAATTATACTTGGAGAAGAGTACAAGTTATGAAGTTCCTCATTATGCAGTTTTCTCCAGCCTTCTGTCACTTAATCTCTCTTTGGTCCAAATATTCACCTCAACACCTTGTTCTCAGACACCTTCAGTCTGTGTTTCTCCCTTAAAGTCAGAGGCCAGGTTTCACACACATACAGAACCACAGGCAGAATTATATTTTTGTATATTTTAATTTTTAAGTTTTTAGATAGCAGATGAGAACTGAATGAATGGTGGCAAGCATTACCGAGTTCAATCTCCTCTTAATTTCCTCCTGAATCAGATTTTGATTTGTTATCATCGTTCCCAAATATCTGAACTGTGCCTCATTTCTAGAACATCTGTTGCCCCTCTTTATGTAATGATTTTGCCCTAAATTTTGGTGACGAGACAGGAACATACACTTAGTTTCCTTTGTGTTTATTTCTAGACCAACACCATTACTGGCATCAATTGAAGTTTATGTATTTTTCTTTATGGAATCTATATATCACCCAGTAGATTCACATCATCAGCACAGGCCAACAGTTGATGTGTCCCATTTAATTTCAGTCCCACCTGGTTTTCTTGGACCTTCCTAATGGTATCATTATCATCAGTAATCTGTCAGACGACAGGTCCACAGTCTCTTCCAAAACAATTCCTCCACTTAATGCGATCTAGAGCTTTCTCCTTCAAATGACAGTATCCTCTTCTGTCCCCAAGGTCATCCAGCATCTTCTTACGTCTTCTTCCTCGTCTTCTTGTCACTTCTATCCGCCCCTCTCTCTTTCCTTCAATAACTTCCTAATGGTATATTCTAAAGCAAATTTGAAAAGCTGTGGTGATTAGGCTTTTAGACTATTCTGGATAGGAAAATTATCTAACAAATATTTACCTATACGGACTTTACCATATGTTTTGTTTAAACACATTTTAATCAGCCTGACTAGTTTCATGGGTATCCCAAACTCTATCAGAATATTGTACAGTACTTCCCTCCTAACTGAATCATAGGCTTTCTTGAAGTCTACAATAGCTGGTGTACTGTCTCAATGCACTCCCATTTTTTTTCCTTATCTGAAGAATGCAAATATCTGATCAGTAGTTGATCTGTTATGTCAAAACCCACACTGATAATCCTCAATAATTTTATCTATGCATGGACTTAACCTTGAAAGTAGAATATTGGATAAAATTTAGTATGAAGTTGATAGCATTGATATCCCTTGATAATAGCTACAGTCAATTTTATCACCCTTCTAGTGAACTGGTTCAGTAAAGGACTCCTTCCACTGATCTGATTATTTTTCTTTATTCAAAAATAATTAATTAGCTCATGGATCTTAGAAAGTAATATTCGCCTCCTGCTTGAGTAAGTTCTGCCGGAATTTGATCACTAAATGGCGATTTACACCTTTTTAATTTTTCAATAGCAATTTCTTCATCCTCAAAAGGCTAGGATCAGGTATTAACGGCTCAGTTGTATGGATTTCTGTCTGCCTAACATCACTGACCCTATGTACAGTCAATAACTGAGAGAAGAAGTTCTTCCACATATTCAAAATGTGGGAATCTGCAGGCAGATCACCATTCTCATCCTTCACTAAGTTACTTCTGGGGTGGTAACCCTTCTTGAAGTGATTTATTCCTCTATACATACATCTAACATTCCAAGTACCAAATCTCATATCGATTTTCTTTCGCTTAGGTCGTTTATCCAAGGAATCCGTCCAGGTTTGAAGCTTCTTGCAAATTTTCGTAACAAGCTTATTTTTACGGTGAGAGTTATTAGCACCACTCCCAAACCCCAAGTTGGAGGACCATCCTTTGTCAACTGTCCGCGACTGATAATTCAATATATTCACTTCTACCCTCCATACCTAGAGGGCGTCTCCTCTACCCGCAACCTGAGGACGCGCCATGCCGTGGTGACAAGGGACCCACCTAACATGGTAGAGGATTGGGAATAGATTTCTATAACTTAAATTGAAATGAACTGGCAAGGAATACAGTTTAGTGATGAGTTTTGATGTTAGCGGTCACGAACCGTCAGTTTGTTATATTATGAAACGCACTGGTGGGTCCATCGCGCATGAAGAGTTCCTCTCAGCCATTCAAAAATTTAAATGTAAATGATACCAGCAAATTTCAACGAACTCAACTTCATAAAATCTAATGAACATAACCACTATCTGCAAGGCATTCCTCCTACTATTGCAAACCGACATCCTTACTTATATAATCATTAAAATGTTTTCCTTGTGCTGTGTGGGCTCCAGAGCTGCTCTGAACGCTTCGGAGTAGGCAAACATTTCTTGTTTTTACCAGGAATCAAACCCTGGCCCTCCAGTCCGTCGCTATGCTGAGTTATCCCGGTTTCTCTTAGTTAGATAATTACAAGGAATGTTTTTAAAACGTGCGCACTTAGTTCTGAATATTTGCAGGTGAACAAGGAATTGTGGTGGGTTTCATCAACTCTGCGATACATGTAGTCATGTATTTCTACTACATGGTGGCAGCGATGGGCCCAAAGTACCAGAAATATCTGTGGTGGAAGAAGTACATGACTTGGATACAACTGGTAAGTTTGCCGATGACAAATGTTTGGTCGCCTAGACTTACATTTTTGTCGAAATTACAAGTAATTTTCTTCTGCATGTGTCCGATACAACCACACTATTACAAGGGCCCTACGTGTACCGAATGTTGATAGAAGTTACTCGCCGTAAAAGCATTTCGTACACAGACTCTACGTAAATCCACTTAAGATTCGTGATGAGAATCTTAAAATTCCATCTTCTATGGAACCCGAAGTAACACTGACATATTCATGATAATTAATTGCAGTAGAACGCCGGTTATCCGAATTTTCAATTAACCGAATCATCGTAACCAAGGGCTGCGTCTGCTCAAGAAACATCATTGTTGGGCTTTTTCAAATAAAATGTAAATGAAAATTTATAATTAAAATCATTAACTTTTTATGTATCGTACGTTTTCAAGTTTTTTTTGTTTTATTATTATAATAGTGTTCTGCGACCGCCTTTGTGGTCTGGTGGTCAAAGTTCCTGGCTACAGATCCAGAGATTCGGGTTCGATTCCCGGTTCTACCAGATTTTCTGAGAATAAGTGGGTCTGGAACGGGGTCAACTCAGCCTCGTGAGGATAATTGAGGAGCTATTTCAAGGAAATAGAGACTCGGGACTAGAAAACCGAAGTTAACAGCCGTGGGGATCCGTTGCGCTGACCACGTGACATCCTTTATCCGCTAAAGTTGGCACTGACTTCGCCGACAAGCGGCGGTCGCTCTATCGGTATAGTTCGCTAGCGGACTGCAGGCCACAGAATAGTGTTCTGGGGTGTTTTTTCTTGGATAAGAATTTAATTCAGTTAGCTGAATTACATTTATCACTAATTCGGATAATCGGCCTTCTACTCTATTTGTTACTCCCTCTATACCGAGCTAATATTGATAGTGTAACGTTATTCTTAGTCCCAGCTCCAACCTGGATTATCACACTATCATCTCCTACCGGCTTTGCGCTAAGCTTACTTGCGGCTAACCTGTATAAAAACAGTACGAGAACTTCCTATTCAGATTAAAATTACTTAACGTGTTTCGTTACTGAAGACGCCGTAGTTGGTTTATTTAACAATCTACAAATAACGGCTACAATTAATTATCACAATATTCCGGGTTTCCACACTTTACAAACCCTACAACAAAATCTCTTAACACAATCTTCACTTGTCTTCACGTACTAATAACGCGGGAGGGATACAAGTCTCCCTGAATTACACACTCCAGATATAACTGGTTATCCCGAACTATCACTGATTCTCGCACACGCGTCTGTAGCTCGTAACTTGCGAACTGAGAACTCGTTGATAACACACTGACTCGTAGGCTTGCTCGGAACTATCTAACTAACTAACGTTATAACTAACGTTATAACTTATAACGTTATAAGTTATAACTAACGTTATAACTCGGCGGCTGCTGCTATATGTCAACTCGACTCGGCGACTGTTACTTTATAACTCGGCGGCTGTCACAGTACAACTCGGAACTGTCTTCGGCGATGGCCAGGTTACAATTAACTGGTAGCTGCTGTGCAGTTCCCTTATATATCCGCAGTGGTGCCTGTTGCGCTCCACGTCACAGTAGGAAGTTGATTGCGGGTACGTAGCGTTTCGCGTTACGTCACCGCGGAGGGGTGGGAGGGGAGCGCTGACTCAGCCGCCGCGTCACTGCTGGTGGGGGGGGGAGTTTTCCTTTGCGCAACATGTCACATTACTATAAAGCCCAAACTTCTGTTGGACCCATTTCTAAATTTCGTGTACAGTCAATGAAATGCAGAAAAGTATATTTGCCTCCACGTATTTATACGCTGTATTAATTACCTTTGTCAGCATGAAGAGTTATTTGTGCCGTTCATTAGCAATCCAACAATAGATCTTCAACTGCACCAAAATATTCCTCTGAGTACGTACATTAATCAGGAATTAATTAATCATTGCAAAGAGAGCATCTGGAATATATGACAAAACTTTGTCACTGAGCTTAATTAAACACCACAACATGAAGGTATGGAGGAGATGATGCATAACTCCACGCATTCTTAACTTAAGCACTAGATGAAGATGAATATTCAACTTCATGCTCCGGCCACTTCGCCTCTTGGCAAGCAGCCTACACCTCCTACTCCTTCTTTATTTATTCAGGGTAGTTAAGTGAGCCAAGACGAGGTTTGGGCGTGGTGGTGAAGAAAATATGCCAGCCCCTAAATGGAATCGATTTTGGCCGCCCAGCCCGTACCCAGTAGCTAACCCTCACTGAGCTATCCTTGCAGATAAGCACAGGTCTATCAGGAGATGTAAACATGCTAAGATACTCACTAAAACACTGTTTGTTGACAGGGACAGTTCGTGTTAATCCTGGGCTATCTCATTTTTACCTTGGCCTCGGACTGTCACCTTCCAAGACAGCTTAGCATCTTATTCAGTATAAACACTTGCATCCTGCTGGGCCTGTTCACGAACTTCTATCTCCAAACGTACAAGAAGAGGAAGGAACTGGACTAAAGGCAACTTTCTTGTAAAGTTCTAAATGGTCAAATGAAGAAATGGAGCAGTCCAGTCACTCTTCGTGGATAATTATTGCGTTCTAAGCCATGCCATGGAGACTGACTAGTAGGTAATTTCGTTGATATACTTATAACAGAGCGGATCATCTCTGGATCGACCGAGAGATGAGATGCCCCCGCCTTTGGAATTGGCTTCTGCGCCTGAATGGATATGCTGACACTTCCCGCCCCACAGCCAAGTCATAGCTCTAACTATTGCATTTAGTCTGGCAGGAAACATATTCTCTCTGCTTTTATGCCCCTTCGCAACACCGTGGGGAGAGCCTGAGAAGTTCGCCTAGTCCGTCCGTACGCCGGACATTCGGGAATCGCAGTACCGATTTTCATGAAATTTGGTATAAGAAGTTCTTATGAGAAATTGTCAAGCCACTCCAATTCTGACTTGGAGCTGATAGGTATAACGAAGACTTTACATAAAAATATGTATGAGTTCTTGTGCGCACCTTGCTAATATTTTCTTTTTTTTTTTAACAAAGATATTTTAAACAGTTGTGGAGATAAATAAAGTACATGTTTTATATTCAATGAACTCTTTCCGTATATCAGTCTTCGATATAATTGAACGTGCATGTTCAGTAAGCAACATCGCCTTCCTGACGCATGCGCAATCAAGAAAATGACAGAGAAACATCTTTACTGACTTCGGACTGCGCTGAAATCATATCAGCATTATTCTTTCAATGTAGTGCTCTATTACAGTACGACTTTGAAGCATATACTGTATGAAGCAATTAATATTTACTTTTATTTTAGCGTGTGTGATGACAGTAACACCACTATGCTACAAGCCAGAAGGTCACGGGTTCAAGTCCCGATGAGGTCATTGGATTTTTTTCAATTGACCTAATCCTTCTGGCCGCACTATGGCCCTGGGATCGACCCAGCCTCTAACAGAAATGAGTACCAGGAATTAATTAAATAATTGTCTCGGGAAGTAAAGCGCGGCCGGCGCGTAAGGCTGACAACCTTACCGCCATCTTTGAGCCGATTGTCTAGATAGTGTGGGAACCTCAACGTCTCAAAACCCTATGGACCTTCACGGCCTGTTACAGGGATAGCTTTACTTTTTTATGACAGTAACACTGATGCTTTAATGGTCACTCCTTAGCCATTAAGTATGCAGTTCTGATTTCTCGCCAATCTGAGCAGCAGCATCCAGAGCAGAATAACTGCAAGTGAATATAATATTTATTTAGTACAATGGAAGAATCCATCCATTGTAGTCTTAATTATATTATATTTATAATTCCTTCTACCGGATGCGGCTGTTATATATGCAATATATACTTTTACTGGATTATTCCCTCAGTAACCCATGAAGTAGCTATGTTTAAGATAACAAAAGTATGAGCATCGAGTTGAGTTAAAGAGGAAATTTACTTCTGGATGGTTGTGAGATAGGGGTGTGACATATGTGAAAACTGAAATTCCAACAGCCGTGGCTGTACGTTTCTGTCTCCTGGGATGTGATACAGTGACTGACCTCACAGCCTGCAATTTTTACCTATACCCTAGCAGTTGGCAGTACATCACAGAAAATGTATGCTCCAGGTAAGGGTTCGGTTCTGATAATCCTTACGGAAGTCAAATTTTACATATGCTGGAAACTGCCATAAGTATCATATTTTGATAGCGCTCCACATGTAATAAAAATAATAACTTTAGAATCACTTTTGTGCTTATCAGCATTCGCTACACAGGCGAAAATTACGTAGTTAAAAAAATCATGAAGTGGTGAAGACAACATGGAATATTTGCGCCCCGCAGGAAAGGCACCAGCATCATCTGCGTATATCCAGTCCTTCACATGAGTAGTCTCCTAACTTCATTTCCAGAGGTCGCTACATAATATTCGATTTGTGTAAGTCCAGTTCTGTTGAATCTGCAGAGGCCTCTCCTATAAGATACATCCGCTTGTCTTACTTAACTATTTCAAACATGAAGGGTCATCTTAAATTTGAAAACTAAGAAACTATTCAGGTTGAGCTTAGCTCTTTCTAAGGGACCCAAAAAAGTAGGTTTCTTCTCCCCGTCACCTGAGGATGGAAGCAGACTCAGTTTCAGAAAAGTTGTATTTTCTAGTTTCTAGAATGCTGGACGATGGACAAAGTCCAAAAATCCAGTAACTCTTGAATATTATACACCATAGTCAGACCCTCAGAAGAAACTATTCCATCACGGAATATACAGGAAAGTATTCTTAGCCTATTTTGCTCATACGTGATTATAAGAAAAGGTAAGATTGCAATAACATCTCGTCTGAATGGTAATATGTCTCTGTGTCTGTCTCTTCCTAATGACTTATGAACCAACTAAGAGATTTTCAAGAAACTTGATTTGAACAACATTCACAAGAAGCCTCTCCACCTTTGCCAAATTGATTTCTTACCACCGAAAATACCAACAAACAAACTAAACTAAAACTCCGGGGCCTGTAGTCTGCAAGCGAACTATACCGACCGAAAGACCGCCGCGTGTCGGCGAAGTTAGTGCCAACTTCAGCGGATAGAGGGTGTCGCGTGGTCAGCACAACGGATCCCCACGCCAGTTAATTTCGGTTTTATAGACCGGAGCAGCTATTTCCTTGAAATAGCTCCTCAATTATCCTCACGATGCTGTGTGGACCCCGTTCCAGACCCACAACTTCTCAGAAAATCTGATAGTGCCGGGAATCCAACCCGGGCCTCTGGATCTGTAGCCAGGAACTCTGACCACTAGGCCACAGAGGCGGTCACCGAAAATACCAACACAAAAGAAAAAGAAACAAAACACATATATACAAAAACAAGGCAATTTCCATCATCTGAATAACAAATATACGTATGGAGGTAAAATTATCCCTATGCTTGCTCAATTACGCACTACGCCATAAAGGAATATGGCGGAATGGCTATATAGACCCACGTTTTCTTAACCTCGATATTAGTTGGACGTGAGTTGTCAGCTTCACTCTCTGGCCCCTTTACTCCAGTGCCTATAGGACAGGTGGCTGACTGGGCTAACTTCTAAACTTGTCTCGGTTATAACATCACAGCTCGGACCACGTAGAAAATGCCGTTCATTTGTGTATTCCGATCGTTAGTGTGGGAAAGTGTTTGTTTGTGAAGGCGATACCCAGTAACGGCTGCGTATACTTGCTTATTAAGAGTCTGTTGCCTAGCAGAGAATGTTGTATCGTTGTTCTTTTCGAAGTCAGTACACAGTAACGGATCTATACGCTACAATATTGTCACGTGTTGGGTGTATAACGCGACAAAAACTTCACGCCGTATTTGATATAGCGAATTTTATTTCACACGCTCTCATACAATCACACAGTTTACACACAATCTGACAACTACTGCTATCTGCAGTATTAACAATTACCTGACTGCATACTCTTCCCTGGCCAACTCATAACAATACGTCACAATATATACCTTTACAATTAGTATTTTAATGAGTGGGGCAACCATGGTTAGTAAGAAATATGACAGCAAGAGACAGTTCAAGTTTAAATATGTTAATAAACGATTCAATGAAATTCTGTATTAATTTGCGTGGTTATATAACAGGCCAAAGGCCAATTAGAAAATAAGCTCAAGCAATGATTGAGCCAAACCAACACGTACACGCAAACGAAGAAATAAAAGTCGTTTGGACAAAAATAATTGAAACCGTGCAATCACACAGAACAAGTTTAAACACACGTCTGCCTGCTAGAGAGCTGATGTCAGCTGTTTTCTGGGACAGGAAAGGAGCGCTAATTTTGCAATTCATGCAGAAAAGGACAAAAATAACGTCATAAGTGTATTGTGAAGCACTAAAAGAACTGCATAAGGCCATTCAGAACAAAAGTCGTGGAATGCTGACACACGGTGCAGTGCTCCTCCATAATAATGCACGTCCGCATACAGCTGCTCGCACTCGGGCACTGCTGGAACATTTTAACTCGGAATTGTATTGCCCACCTTCTTTATAGCCCTGATCTCGCTCAGAGCAACTACCACCTGCTTTTTTGCCCCCCTTAGTGAGGTGGGACTAAGTCCACTTGGTACTGCGGCCACTTCTGACCTATTGTGCCAACCCCAGATGATAGATGAGAGTGATTGTGGAGCAATTGGTGGAATGAAGATTGGCAGAGGAAATCGAAGTACTTGGAGAAAACCTGCCCCAACGCCACTATGTCTACCACAAATCCCACATGACCCGACCCGGGCTCGAACCCGGGCCGCCGCGGTGGGAAACCAGCGACTAACCGCTTGAGATATGGTGCGGTCTTACCACCAGCTCACTCGTACCTACCCGAAGAACTGGCTGTGATCACAGCGCTTCAATAATAATGAGTTGATGGAAGTTGTCGAAACGTGGCTGAGCCCTCAGGCGGAAGACTTCTTTGACACAGACATATAAAAATGTATTCCCCGGTACTACATATGTCTCACTTCGGGCGGTGACTACTTTCTGAAGTAAAGTACACAAATATTTCTCGTAAATATTTATTTTGGTTCTCGTTGCTTGTTCTGTTAACAGCTCGCCAGAAATTACATTATTTGTATATTTTTTACGTCCATGAAGGGCTTCTGTAAGTCTACAGGAAATCTAAAGGGCTATAAAAATGAAAATAACACCAATATTCAACTCTTGGTATTTACACAGAAACCACAAGGAAACTACAAATCGTAAGAGTAACTTAAACTGACGTGATATCATACAAAGTTACAAATTCAAAAGAATTTATGATGCCAACTATTTACTATAAAAGAGCAGCAAAGTGTTTATTCCTGTTCTCGTTATTAATGCCCATGATACTGCTCTACATTTGTACACTACATCAATGACTCTGTGTATAAAATACAGAACCTTACCATGTTCGATATAGCCTATGCTCATTTTGCAAGGTATTTAAAGAAATCTACCTCACGATTTGTCTTGTTCCTTATATTATTGCTGGATATTGCTGCCAGCACTATATTAAAGATATTGTCGCGTATCGGGCGTATATCGCGACAAATAAATTCACGCCGTATTTTATATAGCGAATTTTATTTNCAAAACACAGAACCTTACCATGTTCGATATAGCTTATGCTCATTTTGCAAGGTATTTAAATAAATCTACCTCACGATTTGCCTTGTTCCTTATATTATTGCTGGATATTGCTGGCAGCACTATATTAAAGATATGTTTTATGTACCTTATCGTTTTATAACACGTAAGTTGTTGCCATTCATCACAGTTATCATCTTACATAAAACTTCTTTCTCATTCTCCTCCACGATATAACCCGCATATTTTCGAGTATTGCCATAATTCAGTGACCACCACGGTTCACTCAATCCATGAGGGATTATGACAGGAGGCAACCTTGAGACACCATGGTTAATCACGATCAGGGGCTATAAAAACTTGCATTGGAGAAGGGGAAACACGGTAACTACAGCCTCTATGAGTGGAGGCAGATACTACACACAGATCTCGACTAATTAGAGAGCAGAAACAAACCAATTTGAAATTCCGCCCTCCGGGGGGACCCTGCAGCGGCCGATGCCTGGTCCTGTCATGGAGACAGAAGACATTGCGACTCGTGCGAGGGAGGCCCGTCACTGTGTCAACCGATAGGACTGATGGGGTCAAGCTAGCCTCCGTCCTCAATGGGACTCAAGGAGCGCTACCGAATTAGAGCTCCCCAACGGCCATTGATTAGCGCGCGCCTAGCGGAAAAAGTATAAAGGTAGGAACGTCCGCCACAGTAGCATTTAACACGGTCGTCACAAACGTCACAACAACGTTAAGATTCCGGTCTATAGTTATTGATCGATGCTCTGGATCACGGGATTTTGCCCGATTATGCCTGTGGAGGAGGACGTGAGATGTAGTCAACACATCCGAGAGGTTCTAACCAAACATTTTCCAATTTTCTAGTTTTATACACACGATATATGTAATATTCCAATCAAAACATTACGCCATAATGTCATGTTTTTACGTAATTTGCACCCCTTCACATTTAGAAGATCCCGGATTAATTATGCATTGTCGGTACCGGTAATAAAATAAACTGCTAAAGGATGGCATTGCAATTGTCTTGTAGTTAGTGTGATTTTGTTTTGTACATGACGATGAAAACCCATCTTTATGTGACAGAAAAATCTAATCAGTTAACTTGAGAACCTGGAAACTTATTTGTCCAACAGTATAAAAAGTATGGAACTTAACGATTACCCAAATCATATTTCACACACACAACACATGCTTTTGTATACGAAAGTGGTATAAGGAAGTTACGTATAGTCCGAAAGAGCGACAGTTTATAATATCTTTGATTTTCGTCATGAAAACAAATTTATATTGTGCGGTTAAGCGTGTAGCAGGCTGTCCACAACGCAAGTACGCTTGTAAGTAGTAGTATCTGCTTGGGGAAATTTAGGTTAGCATGTGTTGACTTCAGTTTAGTGTTTTGGAAAAGTAAGGTTAATTTCTAATAGTAATTGGAGCATGTACGAGTATATGTATATAGTTCATTAATTCCAGGGATCCAGAGCGATCCAGAGTTAGTCAAAAATAACTGTAGGTTGTGGAATAAGTCATAAAAACACAAGAAACATGTATGCAGAGTACAACTGAAGCTTTCATATAAGAATATACAGAGGTTACATATAAGGAATTAAAAAATACGTCCACACATATACGTAAATGCTATTGACGTCTGCTATTTACACGAACCTTTAACAGGAAGGGTCATTTTTAGACAGCAGGAATTCATCAGCAGAGTAGAATGAGTGTTTATTTAAGAATCATTTTAATGCTACTTTAAATTGAGTATTTTCATTCATAAGACTTTTGGGTCTAGATGGTGGAGTGCCGAAAATTCTGGTGCATGTGGGCTTTTCTGATAACATGAGAGGTTAGTAATTGCTCTGTGAAAATTGTGCTTGTTTTTTACGTTAACACTGTACAGCTGAATTAGTCTGAAAATGTTATTGATTATGTATAATGAAGTTAATTAATGAAAATACAAATATGTGTTCACATGGAAGAGGTAGGATCTCTGATCTCATAAACAGACCTCAAAGGAATTTCGAGGTTTGGCATCCACCATGATTCTAACAATTTTCTTTTGTGATGTAAATACCTTTTTGTGGTGAATTGCCCCAGAAAATTTTTCGAGATTTTGTTGAAGAGTGAAAGTAGGCAAAAGCAAATTGATTTGAGAGTGTCAGTGTTGCTGATATGTATCTTAGATCTAACTGCATAACAAGTGATCAGTATGGTTTTTCGAATTTAAATGCCAATCGGTTTCGAAACAAAGTTTTGTGTTTAACCCTTCAAAGACTGAATTCCATCACAGTTCTATGTAAAAATTAAGTTTGTACCTCACAGGGAACACATCATGTCCCCGCTACAGAGGAAAATAAGAGAGTTATTCTATTCATCAGTTGTCCTAAGGGGAAAAATATGTGAGGTAGTTTAATCATTTACTGATTACGCTGTTTGTCACATTAGATGGTACTTTTGAATTACATATATGAATAATACAACTGTAACAGTGACTTGTGTAAAATATTTTTTTTCTTCAATTAAAGTGTTTAAGTATGTGGGTTCTACCACTGTGTCCAGTTCTGGTATGAATTTCATGGTGTATATTGTAAATTTAGTATTATTTATACAGTAATGTTTATTTTCTGCTGACCATGGAAACTGCAAGCATGACAGTGCACTGCAGTTTTTCTGCCTCTGTTTTAATGAGCACATAAGATAAGCATTCTCTCTGCATATAAGGATAGATTGGTATCTAGTCTGTATTGCCCTTTCATGACAGAAGATATTTATATTTCTGTCACAGTCTCATTTAAATTTCTGTAATTCTTTTACTTTGTCATCATGGCAACCTGGGCTGAATTCCAGGTGAGGTTATATGGGACACAAGTGCAGATTTTCTCTGAGTACTTTAGTATCCCCTGCCAGTTCTCATTCCACCAAATTCTCCACATCATTAATCACCTTGTCATTGATGCCACATAGTCTCAATACCAACAGTGTCCTTAAATAACCAAGTAAAAAGAAACTCTAGTACTTTGTGCAGTTCTCTTGTAATCTTTGGCCTATTATTCTCTGAAGGTTAATATAGAGTAATCCAATCTCTTCTAGCATTACTTTTTTTTTCTGCTGATATTCTGTTGAATAACAATTTGTTGTGTCTTTATTTCAAATATTCCATGTAGTATTACACATTTCATTACTTCTTAATTCAGTCACATACTATAAAACTTTCTTGTCAATCACAGGATGGTTTGTCCTTTTGAGACCACCACGAGTTCTGATTAGTCACTTGTTGCTTCCAGTATCTCAGTTTCTGGGGATCAGTTGAAAGTTCTTGTACTGCTGCTCTGACCCACTTGTTTCCCTCTTACCCTCCCCAGAAAACATCAAGCTGTCTACTTTAAACTGTGCCTTGTAGTTATTGAATTTACCCATGTTAGTGTCCTACTTCCACCTACTTACTTATGGAGCTGAGCCCTTCTTGAGGAGAAGCCAAATCTGCAGCTACTCAAGAATTTCCCAGCATTTTATGGAACCCGAAGGTTCATTACCATGTTCACAAAGGCCCTCCACTGGTCCCTATCCTGAGCCAGATCAGTCCAATCCATACCATACCATCGTATCTCTCTAAGATCCATTTTAGTGTTGTCCACCCACCTATGCCTTGGTCTTCCCAGTGGTCTCTTTCCTTCTGGCTTTCCCACCAATATTCTATACACATTCCTCGTCTCCCCCATTTGTGCTACATACTCTGCCCATCCCATCCTCCTTGACTTAATCATTCTAATTATATACTTGGAGAAGAGTACAACATATGAAGCTCCTCATTGTGCAGTTTTCTCAAACACCCTCAGTCTGTGTTCCCCCCCTAATGTCAGAGACAAAGTTTCATACCCATACAGAACCACCGGCAAAATTATAGTTTTGTATATTCTAATTTTTATGTATTTGGACAGCAGATAAGAAGACAAAAGGTTCTGAAATGAATGTTTAACTACAATTTGTTGATTCATTGCATTTATTGTTAAGATTGGACAAAAATTAAGGACACTTTATATGATGACCTACACATGTTTATTTCTGCAACTCAAGTTTAGGTCGCTAATTACTTATAAGAGAAAAAAAACGTTTCGAACAACAGTAATAGAGGAAAATGAAGCACTCATTATATGTACAGTACATGTATTCCTTTTTAGTTCTTAGCCATCCCACATGCAACTTGCTTTTTAAAACCTTTAAGAGTTTTTAACTTTAAAATACATGTCACTGGTGGATACATGTTTTGGCCAATATTGGTCATCTTCAGATTTACAGGTTTCAAGGTTTCAAAAAGCAAGTTGAACGTGAAACGGCTCATAACTAACAAGGAATAAATAAGCAATGTGCAACAGGATGGTGCGATATAATAGTACAATACATTTTTCCGTAAGTCATACAGTTTTTGAAATAATTAAACAAACGGGAATGAACGTGCCAGAATTGTTGCACTGTGCATTTTACACATTAGTTCCTTATTACATTCTGAATGACTGACACTTGAGCATAACACTTATGTTCTTTTCATCCTCCTCACAGTCATTAAATAAGTGACGAAGGCGAACAACACATTTTCAAGTAAGGCTGCAGCAACAGCAGTAAATGAGAACATGCAGTAATGAATATGAAGATGGGAGTGGTGCATGAACAATTTAAGCCAGTTCCCTTGGTGACGTGTTTCACTACAGAGACAGGCAATTAATCCATTGGGATGGTGAGGGGGAAATAGGAGAAAGTCTCAGTGTAAACAATACAGCTTTAAATAAGTTATTTCAGAGATGTATATTTTGTGAGAGCAGGGAAGAGGTTATCATTTTCACTTGCTATGCATGCTTCACTGTTCCAGGCAGAAATTTTTGTAATTTGCACCTATGCACAAAGGAGAGACTACACATATGAGCATGTCTACATATGCTCAGATAACAAACAGCTCTGAGGCCCCTTAACACTTCGCGGACCAGTGATTTAAATATTTAAATCACCCTCGGGACCGGCATTTTTAAACATACTACCATAACTTGTGCACTGTTCACTTTAAAAATTAATATAAAATCTCCTAATTAATTTTCTGAACTAAAATTTTTGGAGAACACTTACAAATGCTCCTAGAAGTGCTTGTGGGTGTGATATTTCTGGAAACTTTCCCCTTTGTGAAGTGGCATTACACAGAACTTGCAAATGTAGACATACTCCTTTTTTTATGAACTGTGCAAACACGCACGGCATTGCCTAGAAGTATTCTTCCCCTTGGAATGTTCACTCTTCACAATTTTCACGAGGGTATTTTTCCGCATATCACTCAAGAGTCGCCACATGAGGCCTTCGTGGGGTGGGAATTGAGGGGCCCGGTCGTACTAAGTCTTTGTGTGACCCTGGTTCTGCCGCCACCATCTGTACTGTAGCCCAGGCCTTTGCCACATTCATCAGAAATGCTTTGTATTTCAATTTTGAATCAGGGTTTAGATTTTTTGCTGTCCCCGCAATGTTACTACGCGCAATGTTATTACCCGCATTATCATTGGAGCTACTGTCACTTTTACTGTCTGTGGCCACAATTCTTTGTTGTCCCCCATCACTGTCGCTGTCTGAATGACAATCCATTACTACGTGTCTCACAAGGCAGGTCAGCTAGGTCATCGGAGGAGAATTTGTCCTTGATCCGTTCTCCCCACTAGTTACTGGCTGATACGCACAGCTTGAAGAAGGCAAAGCATTTTCCTTTATAGTCAGTTAAGTAAACAGCGAGGTCAAGTTACTGACTGCTAACTAAACATTCCAGAGTCTTATCACGCATCTGCAGGCGGTTGCGTGCAATGTAGGTGGCACCAGAGCGATGTATAGTGTGTTGCAACTTATCGTGTTCTAAAAGCCCGTTAACATGCGAACGGACCGCCATGTTTAAAAGCGAAAAACCTTTTAAAGGGTGCGCAGTCCACAAAGTGTTAAGGCAAGGAGGGTGCCACTGACAATATGTGTTGTGTGTGGTCAGAATAAGGTCTGTGGCTCCTCTGGGTCAGTGGTCACTGTGGCTGTCAGGTTAAGGGGTATGCAGATGCCTATGATAGACAGGGATTGAGTACTTCTCCTTGGTCCCAAACCATCAATTTCAGTCTCATCATGTGTTGCTGGGCTCAGGGTTAAGGACTGGCTGAAGGAGAGGCACCCCAAATATTTGGCTGCTGCACCAGCTATAAGGCAATCAAAGTGTTTCCTTGAAATACTATATAAATAATCTGGGAAATAGTGGATACTGGTAACGGGATCCACTGCATGCAGGTGGCACCTGCATGCTATGGGTCTCTCAGAACATGCCATGTGCAGGATATGTGGATAGGAAGAGGAACCCTCTCAGCACATACTTTGTCAGCCCCTAGCTCTGGAAAGGCATGGAATACAGAACTTTGGTTCTACATGGTTAAGAGCTGATAGATATTAGGAGGACCTCAGTAGGGATCGTTCTGGCCCTAGCATCATCATCCGGGCTGTTTGAAGGCACAAGAGTGAGGGAGAATAGTGGACTTGGGAGCAGTCTTGAGTGCTTGGGACAACTGGAAGTTGGCTTGCGGAAGTCAAATCAGTAAAAGTAAGTCAAGGTATACCTGTGACAGGCCGTGGAGGCCCATAGGGTTGTGGAATGTTGAGGTTCCCAAATTTTCTAGACAGTTGGCTCATAGATGGTAGCAAGGTTGTCAGCCCTAGGTTCCGGTTGCCCTTTACCTCCACGAATATTCCTGGTATTCATTTCTGTTAGAGGCTAAGTCGACGCCGGTGCCATAGTGCGGCCAGAAGGATTAGGTCAAATGAAAAAAATCCATGAGCAAATACAATAGTTACTGTGTTTAATATCAGGAATATGTGTACCTTCATTAAGTAACTTGTGAATCAGTTTTCATGCCACACAACATTCCTGCTTTGTTTAAAAATAGATGTTCCTCATTTCTAGACAGGCAAATACCTAGTCTCATTCTTTGAATAGTATTTTTCCTTTCATTCATAGTTATTTTGTTATTCACAGTGGCAGCAAAATTGTTAGTTATTTTTTGATGAACTGAAAACAGATATGTTTAATCAGCATTATTGCTCTTCATCAGCAGGGTTTTGAATGAATTAAGGGAGAAGACATGGAAGCAGTGATGGGAAAGGATAATCGAACAGGTTCCATGGATGTGGAAGCAGACAGGTTAGTTTACTTCTTTGTACTATTCAAGTATGTAGGAGAGTTAACTATTGTTGAAGTCTTGTAAATTTTATACATTGTTGTGAGTTGTGATATTGATGTTATTTTTTTTCATACAACACTTTAAAATTTGTGTAACTTCTTTGTTATTGAACACAGTTGTATGGAACTTTCACAGTTCATTCTACACACTTGAGAAATTTGTTTGTTGCTGTTGGAAACATTGAACTGAATAGCAAGATGGCGTTCTACACAGTGGAACAGAAAGTGTTTAGTATCAAAACCTTTTACTCCTCTGGTAGTGCTGTCATTGAGAGTTTTCTGTTTTTGTTGCACCATTGAGAGACAACTATCTAACAAACTGTCAAACAGTCTGAAGAGATAGAAAGTACATGTGATGAATGTGTGACGGGGTGTAATCATAGCATAATCTGTCTGTCTGAAGGTACAGGAAATATTTGTCTGATAAATGCGTGTTGGGATATAAACATAGTATAATCTATTGATATGGAGGTCATCAGTGCGGCAATGGTGGCAATAATAAGTGGTCCAAGAAAAAGTGCTCAGTGTTTAGCACAGCAGATTGAGGTATGAACCAATGCTGCATGGGAAGTGTGTCATCATGATGACATGATGATGCTTCTGTTCAGAATATATCTATCTGAGTCAGCCATTGTCAGGAAATGGAAAAGTGAGATGAGACATTACATGTTTGTGAGGGAGTATAGAGGACAGTCTGGCTGTCTTGAATGTCATGTAGCCCTCCGATGAAGTACACTGCCATTTTGATGACTATATTAACAAGCAAAATATTTGCTTTTGGGTCTCAGAGAATTGAAGGCTTACTTTTGCACAACTCACTGCATTCAGAGAGAGTGACACTGGTGTGCATTATCAAGCACCACAGTAGTCACTCCAATGTTCATTGATGGTACAGTCACTTCTGATGTTTACCTCAGTCTGCTGAGTGATGAATTTGTCCTTCCCTGATAGGATAGGGGGCACGCGGTAGCGTAGTTGGTTGAGGCACTGCTACAAGCTGGAAGGTCGCAGGATCGATTCCCAATGAGGTCATTATTTTTTTCAATTTACCTAATCCTTCCAGGCGCACTATGGTCATGGGGTTGACTCAGCCTCTAACAGAAATGAGTACCAGGAATATCCTTCGAATGTTCTTGGGGGTAAAGGGTGGCTGGCGCGTAAGGCTGACAACCTTACCACAATCTATAAGCTGATTGTCTAGAAAATGTGGGAACCTCAACATCTTACAACCCTATGGGCCTCCACAACCTGTTACAGGGATACCTTTACTTTACTTACCTGATAGGATATGGCATTCCAATTAATTGAAACTGGCTTCAACAAAATGGTGCCACACCTCACACCAGCAATTCCCATACTTCTCTTCATGACGTTTTGAAGGAAATAGTTCTGTATAACTAATATCTGTGTGATTTGAGGAAGAACCAACAACTTAAATACAGTTAAAACCCTTCAGTTATTTTCTTTGGAAATACTAGAAGGATAGGGTATTTCACAAAAATATGCTTACAATTCCAGAACAGAAAACTGCCATCCAGTGAAACTGAAGCAGTTTCTACACAAATTGCAACCAAGGTTCTGCACATTTTTGTCTTTTCTTTTGCATAAAGTTTCTGATCTTCATGGACATCATATGGATCATGTTTTAGTGTAAGTAACAAATTTCACAAGTGTATAGTGCAAACTTTGAAAGTTTTGAACAGTTGCCTTCACTAACAATGAAGTTATGCAGATTTGAAAGTATCAGATGATAAAGAAACATCCTGTATGTTTCACAGTATGTCTGTTCAAATTGCACACATTGTGTGCATGCGAGAGGAAGGGGGGTAGGGGAGCTACAAGATGTGGTCAAGAAGTATAAAATTTTATGCCATTTAAGGCCATTTTACATTTATGGAACAGAAAGAAGTCACATGAAAATATATCTGGTGAGTATGGAGTTGTCTCCATTTGGTATGTTGTGTTTATCTAAACAAGATTTAAAATTATGCAGTGTACAGGTAACAGGCATGCCCGGCAGAAGGAACTTTAAATGAAATTATTAGGACTATGATGAGTAATGTGTATACACACACACATTACAAGTAAGCATTAAATTCTCACATAACAGTTCACTGTTAGGAGGTTATGATATTGCTAAAATTAGTGAGAAGTCAAAATTTTATAGGCCTACAAGAATGAGAAACAGTAATTCACATGTAACTATTCACTGTTGGTAGGTTATAATATTACTTAAATTGGCAAGAAGTCAAAGTTGTGTAGCCCCACAAAAAGAAAAAAAAAAGGGTTAAGGCTTCAGTGTATGCTGTTTTTACACTCTAAATTAAAATTAAATGCATATATACTGGCTAATATATGTTACATAGTTGTATTATAATACATCACTACATTAAAGAAGAAAACACAAATCTGAATTTAATGCACCATAAATTCTCTCAAGAGTTTCTTTTTTTATATCCCCCTCCCCCCAAACTGTGATTGTGGTGGTAGGTGGTTAATTGATGAGTATATAAAGAAAAAAAATTGCCTGACCAGTGGAAGGAGTCTATTATTGTTCCAGTTCACAAGAAGGGTGATAAATCTGACTTGTAAGTATCAGGGGATATCACTGCTATCATCTTCATATACAATTTTATCCAGTATTCTTCTTTCAAGGTTAAGTCCATACATAGATGAAATTATTGGGGATCATCAGTGTGGGTTTCAATGTAACAGATCAACTACTGATCAGAAGAGCTAAAGCTATATATTATGAGGGAATAATAATGGCTGCACCTAATAAATCCAAGGAGTCGTGGAAAATCATAAAGAGAGAAAATGGTAGAGAGTTGAAGAAAAAACATTCATATTCGGAATTGAGAGAAGGTAATGTAATAATCGATAGTAGGAATAAAGCTAAGGCATTTAACTCATATTTTTTTAGTTCAGTTAACAAATTAGTTGGTCAGATTTCTAATAATGTATGTTTTTTACCACTTTCATGTGAGTACTCTACAGACAAGATTTCTGAAATTGTAAATAATCCAATTACTGGGGCAGAAGTATTAAGCACGATAAATTCATTAAAAAATTAATCTTCTTGTGGATATGATGGGTTGTCAAATAAAATTATTAAATTATGTGGTGAACAGATAGCAAAACCACTTCCTTATATTTATAATCTTTCTGTAAGTTCGGGCACATGTCCTGACCGATTGAAGTATGCAAATATTATACCATGTTTTAAGAAAGGTGATGTTACTGAAATTGCCAACTATAGACCGATATCTTTATTGACAAATTTCTCTAAATTATTTAAAATACTGGTGTTTAGCAGGCTTAAACAGCATTTTATAAGAAATGATATCCTGGCTCCTGAGCAGTATGGCTTTCATAAGGATGTTTCTACACAAACTGCAGTCTCTAATCTAACTGATACTGTTCTTAAAGCATGGAATAATAAGGGGTTTGTGGTAGGTATTTTTTGTGATTTGACTAAGGCCTTTGATTGTGTCAGTCATGATCTGTTGATTCAAAAGTTGAAGATGTATAGAGTCAAAGGACCTATTTTGAAATGGTTGGAGACTTATTTAAAAAATAGAATGCAAAAGAGTTGTGCTGCATACTTGTAATTCGACTACTACAATCTCTGAATGGAAATCTGTAAGGTTTGGTGTTCCACAGGGATCTGTCCTGGGACCAATGTTGTTTAATGTTTATATTAATGATTTCCCAGGTACTCTTAAGGATATAGCATGTACTATTTTCTTTCCAGTCGGAGCTCTATGTATTGTAATTATACAAAGTCTGTTGGAGCTCAAGTTTAACTTAACAGCACATACCTCAAAATCTTTTTCTTTACAATATTTTTTAGGTCTATATTTACAAATTTCAAGCTTGTGCATAGATAGATAAATACTCCTCCTTTTTCATACAAGGTTCTACAATAGTTTGCTCCTAGTTTATAAGAATCTATGTTTAATTGTTGTAATTCCATGAAATTCGTGTGATGTTCTGTAAAACATAATATGTGGGTGTAGATGACTTAATAGCTCATTTGCTTTCCCCCTTAAACCTCTAATGTTCTGATGGAAAATATTAAAGAAATTTATATTCTCCAGCTTGAATCAGTTCTGCCAGAAGTTTTTCTCTGCCTGGCGATATGTATTTTTTCAGCATTGCAATATCAATTTCAGTCTCAAAAGGAATAGGATTAGGTACTAATGGCTCAGCTATATTTATTTCTATCTACCTAACATAACTGATTCTATGAGCATTCAATAGCTGTACATGATATTAATTTATTTGTTCTCTGTTTTCTTTAAGTTTGCATGACCTGGTTACTACTGACAACAGATTCATTCCAGAAGAGACTTCCTTATTAGTTCACTCTCAGAGACATCAAGGAAGTCAGCTGACCCATTTCTTGGATGACAGAGGTGATGGGAATGGTTTATGTACAGAAGAAACTAACAGTGATTCTAAAGATAGCAGAAATGAGAGAAATAAGCCATTCTCTTGCACAGATTGTGACAAAAGCTTTACATATCTATCTCAGTACAAGATGCATTCTGTAATCCATACAGGTGAAAGACCTTTTATGTGCACAGTATGCAGCAAATCTTTTACACAGTATGGAAACCTAAAGACTCATTATGGTGTTCATACTGGGGAACGACCACATGCATGCCCTGTGTGTGATCGTAAATTCCGGAAATTAGGGAACCTTAAGAAGCATCATCAGATACACACAGGTGATAAGTCATATACTTGCACAGAATGTGATGAAAAGTTCACACTACCTAGTCGTTTGAAGAAACATCTTCATGCCCATACTTGTGAATCTATTGAGGAAATTGAGAGTCAGCATGAATGCACCATCTGTAATAAGAAATTCACACAACCAAATGATTTACGAAGACATATTCTTATTCATACTGGTGAACGGCCATTTGTATGTCGTGAGTGTGGTAAGGGGTTTATACGATCCTCAGCGTTGAGGGAACATTCTCGGGTTCATACCGGTGAAAAACCATATGCATGTGGAGTGTGTAATAGACAGTTCTCAAATCTCAATAATTTGAATCTGCATTTACGTTCACATTGTAACGTGTGTGGAGTATGTGGGAAACGGTTTGTAAGCTCAGAAAAACTTGAGAGACATAAACATGTACATGTGGGTGGTAAACTTAATCAACGGAGAGGAGGTAAAAAGTGTGCAAAGCATAATGGTGTTCAAGATCAGTCCATTACTCAAGTTGGTGATAAACCGTATGTGTGTACAGTGTGTAACAAAAGGTTTACAACTGCGTCAAATCTCAATCATCACTCCCATTTTCATTTACAAGAAATACCCAGTGAATTCAGCCAGCAGTTGAAGAATTTGATTGATGTTGAGAGGGGTTCAAGTATCTATGCAAAGAGAACCCCAGGTGTTAGCAAGAATATTGTATTTTGTATGAGAAAATGAACTATATAAAGCTAAGAGTTACACAGAGAAGTGTTGCTTGTGTGGAAGCAAGTTACAGAAACGTGTTTTGACTCAGTTCCATCAACTCTATGTATAAATTGAATAAATTTCACCTGGAGATATTGTTAATATCCTTTCAAGGGCTGTTCTGCGGTAGACCATTCTGTTCCTGAGGACTAGGCTAGTCGTTTCAGTTCATGCGTCCAAAATAAGGGAACATCAATTTCAGTGTCATGGAATCTTGATAATACCATATTATTCTAATAATATAAAGAAAAAATCTGAGGTTTCATTTTTTGTTTAAGTTGTTAATACCTGATTGTATACGTCCTTGTAATGTGCTGTGAACACAAGTCATTAGACACTTTTTGATTAATACAGGGTGTTTCACGACTTTAGGGCATAACTGCAGGAGGTGATTTCCTAGGTCTTTGTGATCAAAATAGTTCATATAAACATGTGTCCGATTTTGGATGGTTACGGAGTTATGACCGTTTTTTAATTCCCGTACACGCCCTCGTGTGAACCACGTCTATCATCTGGCGGGTCGCTATTTTTAGCCAGCTACAGACAGAGCGTTCTCGTTATCTCAGCACTTAAGAGGTACCTAAGGCATGGTGGGTTGGTATGTCTGGCCACGGCTAGTGTGGCGGCTACTGGTGTTCAGAACAGTTCTCATTTCAGTGCATCTGTTACATTCATGATGCCATTTACATTTTCATTTGAGGAGTATGCAGATATGATATATGTGTACGGGTTTTGTGACGGTAACTCAGTTCTTGCCGTAGCTGAATATCAGCAACGGTTTCCGAATCGTAGAATACTGAACCGGAGAGTGTTTACTGGAGTTTACCAGGCATTGCGAGATACCGGTAGACTTCCCGGCGTTCATATTGCAGCCGAGCGTGGTGTTAATGAAGGTGTCAATGAAGAAGGCATTGTTCGTATGGTACGCCACAGTCCACGTACGAGTACATGAAGAATTGCCAGACAGGTCTCCAGACCTAAGCCCACTGGATTATTGTGTGTGGGGATGGATGAAAGAACTGGTTTACAATGTGAAGGTGGCAACGCGAGATGCTTTGCTTGGTCGCATTCTGGACGCCACTGACCACATAAGAAACAGCCAGCTGAAGCTGCTATGTGCTACCCGCGCGGTTCACAACTGAGCGGCAGCTTGTGTTGCAGCCGACGGTGGCATCTTCGAAAATCAGCTTTAAGCACCAATAAATTCAAATTAAAGGTAATTTCACGAAGTTAACTTTACATTCATACTTTAATTGTATCATGTATTATGCTGGTTTATTATTTTGTTCCGTTTATTGTCAGTAATCATTACCTTCTATTTTGAGTTTAAAACGATCATAACTCCATAACCGTCCAAAATCGGACACATATTTATATGAACTTTTTTGATCACAAAGACCTAGGAAATCACCTCCTGCAGTTACGCCCTAAAGTCATGAAACACCCCGTATATTTAAAGACACTATTTGTCACTGTAACACTTCTATTCATTGCAGATGTTTACAAACCACTAACAGTGGATGCAGCTTTACCTCTTTCATTTATTTCCCCTTGCGTGGTTTATAATATTCCTTATCGTAGATTCAGGCATTCCGATATCTCGTCCTATTTTAGGGCGAGGGCACACCAAGGAAACTGGCAACCACAATATCCGAGAATTATCAGCCTGCGTTGAACACATGTTACTTAATGGAGCAGCGCAAATTGAGATTGCATTGCCGTTTCCTCAATTTGGCATCGCTCCATTATTATTATTATTATTATTATTATTACTAATTTTATTTCCATGGAACCTCATATAGCTGGAACACCAGTGGATATAGAACTAGTCAATGAAAACAAAATGAATTACATCGATTACACAAATACAATACTTAATTCATCACACCTAGAATTGCGTCATTCCGTTCTGTTAAAGGCACTTCTTAAAACAAATCACAAAAAGTGGCATATATTACGGCAGACAGCAGCACATTCCTACGCTAAGGTAAACAACTGCAGACTGAAGTAGCAGCATCTAAAACCCTAAGGCCATGGCCACACGAGCAACATTTACTGCTCAAAATCCACAACAAATGAATCTGCTGCAACTGTTGCAAATGAGATGGCCACACTAGAGCTGTAATTACTGCTCTTTGGAGCGTCAAATGTCGCGAATAGGTGGCCACACAGAGCCATCCGTGATACTGAGCATCAATAGCCATCATGTCACAGTGTGTGCAAAATATGGCAAGTAGTAGGCCACTGAACAGACAAGCAGTATCCGCATTATATCTATTATTAATCTGTCGTCGACGCCGAAAACAGCTACAGCAGAGGAGAAGGTGGTGGATCCATCCCATGATGAGTGACAGGTCAGCGAGGGGGAAGTTTGTGCTACTACATCACAAGTTAATGGAATATCCTGACAAATTTCTCGAATATTATAGGATGACAATCAACTCATTTAAAATACTCTTATCCCTCGTGAAAGATACCATCTGTAAAATAAATACAGTAATGCGAGAATCCGTTAGTGCTGAAGAAAGACTGGCAGTTACATCAAGGTAAGTTCTATTATATTATAATGAGGAACAATAAATTTGTTTAAAGAAAACATTTTCCACATTTATTCATAGATCATACAGAAGCTCTTCTAGCTTCAGTCCTTGTTGTAAACATGTACACTCACTGAAATCATCTGTTCACAGTTGAAGGAATGACAAAATGGAATCATCACTCTCATTCTCAAGTTCTGTTCCTACAGTACAAGACATACTAGGTTGTACAGGGGAAGGAGTAGTAGCTGTAGTTTGGGAGGGACTTGAGCAGTAGGAAGAGGAGGCAGACATGAAGGGCAAATTCTGAGTAGCTGTGGGATGGGGTTTTGGTTCCGTGTAAGATTTTATAAATTCATAACTCCAATCTGGAAGTTAAGTTTGTCAGATGAAATCATTTTCTTTACATGCGCAAGTAACGATAAAAAAAAACATTTCATCTGGCTCTTGAGGCCATGTAGCAGTAGACTTCAGCACATCCACCACGTCCTTTTCGAAAGTGTCTGCAGCACATTTTCTTTTCTTTGGTCCCTGTGGGCTAATTTGTTATCCCTGTCAGACTACACTGTGTTGGCCTGAGACTCAGTACTCCCATCTCTACTGCCCGTATTTAGAGCCGGTTCATGCATGTTACCAGAAGTTCTGCAAATAGTTAGACTGACTGAGGAATGTCACACAAATTTAAAAATATCATTGAAAATTATGTAATAATAAAAATAATTCCCATTACAAAATAAGTCAATTAAAATAAAATGTATGTACTCTCTTAGTTGGAGGGATGATTGTAGAAAAGACATCTGTTTGTGGAAAACATAAGGTCTTTTATTTGTTGTTGCACTACCACTTCTCTACCCTCCTGGGCTTTCAGTGCTCTTGTGTAGGCATCCTTAAGGCTTTTCCAATGTTTCTGAACCTCCTTACCTGAAAATAATAATGCACGTTATAAAAATTATACGTCCGCTTATGATGAAAATTAGCTTCAAATACATAACTTGTTGTTCTTCCAGGTATCTTGGGACCGGAACTTTCCGCTCACTGCACTTTGAGTTCCTACTTGGTCGGTCTACTATAGCTAGCATTATTTGGGATACATGTGTGGCAATATGGGAGGTGCTCAGGGAAGAGTTTATGAAAGAACCAAGCATGGAAGACTGGATGGAGATCAGCGAAAAGTATGAGAGAAGGGAAAATTTCCCTCACTGTGTGGGGTCCATTGACAGGAAGCATATCAGGATTATCAAACCATGGGGTTCAGGAAATGAGTTTTTAAACTATAAGAAGTTTTCCTCTATTGTACTTGTGGCGGTGGCAGATAGTGACTACTGTTTTAGGTACATAGATGTTGGTGGGTTCGGACATGAAGGTGACTCAAATCTGTTCAAAGCGACTGAATTGGGAAAGAGACTTTACAGCCAATCACTGCATTTACCACAGCCTAGGCCACTTCCTAATGAACAAAATGGTCAATCTGTTCCTTTTGAGTTCATGGCTGATGAGGCATTTGCTCTCAGTGAGCATGTTTTGAGACCGTTCCCTGCGAAGACTCTGACGCACGAAAAGAAAGTGTTTAATTACGGGTTATCCAGAGCCAGAATATTTGTTGAATGCGCATTTGGCATCTTACCCAACAAGTGGCGAGTTTTCCATCGCCCATTAGATGTTAGCATGGATCTCTCAGATACTATTGTAAAAGCATGATGCATACTACATAACTTTGTAACGAGACAAGACGGTTATAACTTTGAGGATGCATTATGCTGCTCACTGGAAAGTGTTTCTGCACAGGGAACAAGAGGAAATAGAAGTGGAAAACAGAGAAGAGACTATTTTGCCAATTATTTCTGCTCTACACATGGTTCCATCCCGTGGCAAGATCGGCTTGTGTAATTGATATATCCTTTGTAAACTTCGTGCAAATAGTGAACTGAAGCGAGAATTTTATAATAATGCCACTAATTCTTCGTAAATCTATTTAATAAAGTAATATAATAAATAGTAATATATTGTAGTTACTTATTATTACTAACCAATTCTATTCCTCTCTTCCAGCTCCTGCTCCTCCCATTCTTCTCCAACGAGCGACTTAGAAATAGCAACCCAGGCGTTTAATTTCATGTGACGATCCTTGTACTGTTAACTATTCATGTCGTAAATACATGGATGCTTTTGGACCTCCAGAATTAGAAGTTCGCTGTCTATAAGCTCCATAGCGATTCACCATCAAACGAAAACAAGTCTCAAAGTACCAAATAAAGCGCGCGACAAATGAAGCTCGTCGGCCAGGCGAACTACCGACAAATACAGGTAGACAATGGGCCGAGACCCATGCTTCCGCAACGCGAATTTGAAATTGTTCCCTCCACCAAGAAGCCAGTGTTATTTACTGCTCCGTGTGGCCCTTCTCATTTAACTACATGGTGCGTATTTCTTCAGCTTCATTTGTCGCGGATTTCGAGCAGTAAATATTGCTTCTGTGGCCGTGGCCTTAGGACTGGGGCACACCAAGTCGCACCAAGTAAACTAGCAACCGCAATTTCCGAGAACTGTTATCAGCCTGAGTTGAACACATGTTACTGAGTGGAGCAGCGTAATTTGAAGAGACTGGGTTGCCGTTTCCTCAATTTGCGCTGCTCCATTCAGTAACATTTGTTCAACTCAAGCGGATAACAGTTCTCGGAAATTGAAACTATATATTGAAAGTATATATCACAGGTTCATAAGTATACTACATTCTGGTGACCATAGCTGAAACCATGAACTCCATCATCCAGAGCAAGGGTATGCAACTCAATGCTATTGGCGGGCAACACAGCCACTGCTGCCGCGGTGGACAGCTGCAATTCTCGTAACAAAAAAATGCTGCAGCCAGTGCCGAGGGCTCGGTCGGTAAGAAGGTATGCTATCATATCACCTGCCCTGTCGGTAAGAAAGTATGCTATTATACCACCAGCATTTTTTTTACTGCTCCCTCCCAAAAAATCGCTGGTTCACACATATAGCTAGAATTAATAATTGATGTAAATGAAATGTTCTTATTTTACAGGCACTGGTGAGAAACTTTCTCCCAATAAATAATGTTGCAACCTGATATCTTGTACTGCAGAGGTTCTTACTCCGTTGTGTGTTTTCTGTTTTCGAACTGAGTTTAATATCACTTCACTCAAAACCATCTGAAGGGGAATGAGTTAAATGATATTAAACTCAGTTTGAAAACAGAAAACACACAACGGAGTAAGAACCTCTGCAGTACAAGATATCAGGTTGCAACATTATTTATTGGGAGAAAGTTTCTCACCAGTGCCTGTAAAATAAGAACATTTCATTTACATCAATNATATTATGCACCACGATAACCGCAAGTAATTATGGGTATTCAAATTGGTTTGTTTAGGCTCTCTGATTGGTCGAGACCTGCGTGTAGTTACTGCAGACATTCGTAGAGGCAGTAGTTACCGTGTTGCCCTTTCCCCTATTCAAGATTCCACCCCCTGATCCAGAGATCCAGAGCCGTGTAAGTGTTCCGTGCGAAAGAAATACAATTCCTGTTCTGCAGCAAGGAGCACCATTGTCAAGTGATCCGTGCAAATTGCCTCATATGATCCAGCTATAATAAGAAAAGGTGATAGTAACTCTGTTCCTGTGCTTTATTAAGCACCACATCGTGAAGGCGTGTGAAGGGGATGGAGGCATAGCTCCACCGTACTTTACCTCTGCGCTGGATGAATATGACTGAAGTATCACGCCCCGGCCACTGTATCCCTAGGGAACCAGACCCCAACTCACTGGATAGGAGACCAGATAGGCCACACAGCCGTTCTGGACTCTGTAAAGAAGAGAAATTTCTTTTGCCTCTTCCGAGAATTGAACTCCGGTCTTCAAGTCCGTAGTCAGTCGCTGTACCGATTGAGCAGTTGATGAAGATATAGATCTACAATATAATGATAAAACGTTTTGTACAGAACTATGTTTATTATCATTATGTATAATAAGAATCTTCCAAATTAGTACTGTATTCACATTTTTTGTTCATTTAAAAATGGACTACTTACATCGGTCACATACGCCGGAAGCGTCGTTAGAAGCGTCACAAGCTTACACTGTGATCTGTGCTTATTGAGTAACGTACACAACATGGAGATTCGTATTTCTCTCGAAAAAGGTGCATTATGGTCTTCTGTTTAAAAAAAAACAATGAATGAAGAAACAATATTGTGAAGCGTTTTAGATAGATTGCAATCTAATGATTTGCAGAAATCGCTTCTGAATTTTCGTTTGATTGTGCAGTCTTAGGTTCCGCACTTCAAAGAAGGATATGGAACGTGTTTACGAAATATTAATCAGGTAGGTTTTGGACAAGTGGCATCGCAATTATATTTCACATCCTCACCACCTTTATTTTATTTATTTATATACTTTCGGGTATATCAGGGCAGGACCTAAAGTTGATTCAAGCCCTTAACCCCCGTATAAGGTGATGTTACTGATCAGTTATTATTTTGGGTTCCATTAATTCACAGAAGACTACAATTTTAATTCTCAATACACCGGCAACCCCTCTATATCTTATCCGGGTCATGGTAATGCGACAAATATGGCGATTTGCAGTGCTTAAAAACTTATAGGAACCACCGTGCTATATGGTTGTTTTGATCACATAATTCCAATGTATTCTGTACAGTTGGAATCTTTCTACATTTGTTGGGAGGGATGTATGAAAACCATAGAAAGGCTGAGTGTAGCTGGACCAAAGATTGGATCCTGGTACATCAGACACAACTGAAAAGTTCGAAGCTCAAATTTAAACAAAGGTAGACAGTGGACTGAAGGAAATGGAGTTATGGTATCATGGAATCAAATTTACCAAGTTTTATTGAATGTGATTTCTGTGAAGGTTTGGAAGCAGTGTCATTAAATTTGTTAAACCGATTTCTCTTACCTCAAAATGGTGAGTTAAGTATCTTACCTGGCTGAACAAAATTGTTGTATTTTAATTCCCATTTACTGATAGCTAGATACTGTTATATTCTCAGGTAGATTCTAAAGGGTTCTGATGATGGTGCATAACACTCAGAATTACTGGATTTTTAAACTTTATCCATTGTCAGGTAGTCAAACAACAGGAGAACAGATCCAGTTTCCAAATCGCTGTGTTCTCTAGCTTTTAGAATACTGGATGATATACAGAGTTGAAAAATCCAGTAATTCTGAGTTATATTCTCACTTGTCTACTGAAATTGCACACATTTTAAACACAGTTATGAAAGATTTGATAAACAGTGATAAGAACTTAGCATACTCATTTTAATCAACATAGATCTGTAACTTTTTACCAAATTTGGATTTTACTTTTGATTAGCAGAATTGTCAAAACAGAGTTTGGTGTAATGTTATCAGTCAGATTTATGTATTGAAATTCTTTTTACTCTATCGATGAATTTATAGAGCATACAAGAGTTACAAAGATAGAGGGTAAATAAATAGTATGAGTAAACATATTGTAAGTTACTCCCTTTCGTTGGATTTAATAGTGGCTGTAGTGATTAATTTAACACTTGACAATTCCAGTCAGTTAAGGCTGAGAATGTACTTAATATGTATGTATTTTCCTAAATGAGAAAATTGGACTGACAACTTGTGAGCTTTGCATGAGGCTCTATTTACCTTGTATGAATTTTAATATATTATATCTTAAATTTTATATGTTATATTTAATATTACTATCATTTGAAGGGGAAAGCTCAAGATCGCATTAAGTGGAGGAATTGTTTGGAAGAGACTGTGGACCTGTCATCTGACAGATTACTGATGATGATGATGGTGATGATTTAATATTGTATATTTATATTTATTGCATGTGATCTTTTATGTAAGACTTTGTATGTGACAAATTTTATATCCAGCCCTACTGGNCTGAGAATGTACTTAATATGTATGTATTTTCCTAAATGAGAAAATTGGACTGACAACTTGTGCTCTTTGCATGAGGCTCTATTTACCTTGTATGAATTTTAATATATTATATCTTAAATTTTATATGTTATATTTAATATTACTATCATTTGAAGGGGAAAGCTCAAGATCGCATTAAGTGGAGGAATTGTTTGGAAGAGACTGTGGACCTGTCATCTGACAGATTACTGATGATGATGATGGTGATGATTTAATATTGTATATTTATATTTATTGCATGTGATCTTTTATGTAAGACTTTGTATGTGACAAATTTTATATCCAGCCCTACTGGGTAACAACTGAATCTATGAAATGTAATTACAAATAAATAAATAAAAATAACCTGTCTAATGAGCCTAGCCTTACATGACAAATGTATATGATGCACTCTATCCAACAGGGCTATGAAATCTCGTTTAGTTACCAGATAAAGCAAATTATATGACATTAGCTGGTAGTCTCAGAGAAGAAATAGAATGTGACCGGATGAGGCAGGCAGTAATGCTGGTAGCATTTACTTCAATTGAAATAAGTGTCATACCTAATGTCCCAATGAGATAGCAAGATATTGCAGTCTCAGCTCTGTGTTGTATGCTGTTCATGGTTGACAGTTGTGCATGATATTTGTGTGGGGCATTCAAGAAACTTTAATAATATAATGTTAGTAATCTTTGCAAACCCTCAGATGGGTGATGAATGATGTTAAGGAAATGAGTGGAAGTATTCAGTTCTGGTATTTGTGTTCATTTGGATGAAACATCATTGATTTGTAAACCTATGATTGCCACAGATAAAGGTGGGGTGAAGTATAGTATAAAACGATAGTATGACAGTAAATCTCATGTATATGTCATAAATCTTACAGTAGCCATGTGAAACAATTTTACATAGAATTAATACAAATATGGTAATAGAAGTAAATTACAACTATTAACTAAACAATGTAAAGGTATTCATTGGGAAGTTGTTTTGTAAAATTCATCAATGCTATAAAATGCATGTTCAGTGAGATAGCTTCTCAATAAAGATTTGAATTGCTTAATGTCTTTAGATAACAATTTAATATTCAAAGATAAGTGAATATAAATCTTGCTTCCATAGAACAGCACTCCTTTTTGTACTATTGATAAATTTGTAGAGGGTAAGTATAAATTATAATTATAGCAGGTATTAGTGTCATGAATATCCGTGTTAGATGGAAAGTAATTTTTAATCTTAAAAACAAAAAGAAGTAAGGAAAAAGTATATTGAGACTGGAGTGGCAATATTTGTAATTTTTTGAACAAATCCCGACATGAATCAAGTTTACCTGAACCAGACATAATTCTTATGATTCTTTTTTGAATTTTAAAGATACTCATACTAAGGGGGGCATTACCCCAAAAGATAATGCCATACTTCAGTATTGAATGTGCATAAGAGTAGCAAATCATCTTTATTGAATCCAATGACACAAAGGGCTTTATTGCAAAGCAGGCCTTAATTAATCTTGATGATAACTCAGTTATGAATGTTAGTTCTTACAGTTAAGTTTTCCTCTTTTGCTGTAGACAGTCTACTGTCGCTGTATTTTTCTTTGGTTGGATCTAAACTGGAATATTCTTCTCTTATATTGAACTCTGTTAGAATTGCTGACTCCAATAAACTTGATCCTATATAAATACATACAGTAGATTTTTTCAAGATGTGGAGAATATCGCTGTGGTAATATGTTGGAAAAATTAAAATTTCAGACACTGCAAATCAGACATCACTTTAATGCTCAGTTTTATAAATGCCTTTGGTGGCACAACATTTTTTCTGCCCTGCCCTTGAAGCAGTCATCATTCATGTTCCTATTCAGAACATAAGTAATTAATTTTTAATTTTTTTTTAATGCTAGTGGGGTGGAACTAAGTCCCTTGTACTGTGGCCACTTATGGCGTATTATACCAGCCCCAGACGATAGGTGAGGGTGATTTTGGAGCAGTTGGTGGAATGAAGATTGGCAGGGGAAACCAAAATACTCGGAGAAAACTTGCCCCAGTGCCACTTTGTCCACCAGAAATCCCACTTGACCAGACCCGGGATCAAACCTGGGCTGCTGCGGTGGGAAGCCAGCGACTGACCGCTTGAGCTATGGTGCAGCATTTGAAACATAAGTAACTTTACCATGTTCACTTGCTCCTCTAGGCACTGCCCTTCAGCTAGATGTGCTTCTGCTGCAAATACAGTTTGTAAATATACAGATATTTTTAGTAACTCATTTCTAAGTGTAAAAGGCCTTAACTGATCAGATTTTGTTTGTTTCTTTTATTTTGTTATTTTTGTTTGGTTTACCCTGTGCTGTATTATTGCTGTTGTTTGTATTTGTGCTGGCTCTTTAGTTGATCACTGGCTGTTGAACTCAGCACTTAAATAAATGGAGAATTGAATTATTATTGTTGTCATTGTCACTGTTGTTATTGATATGCTCTGTATGAGTTCTAATGGTTCTCTGCTCTGGACTGTCACATGTTTGAATTTCTATTATATTATCATGTTGCCAAATTGTTGTATGGCAGTACTGGTGTATGCTGGACCAAGTATACAGTAGGACATCATTTGGAATGATACTTGGTCATCATGCTGTCCATGTAACGATAGTGTTCCATTCCATCCATAAGGGTCTCAAATTCTTTTAGTTCTTAAATCATCTACTTTATTGATTCACTTTTCATTTGTAGCATATCTTTCCCACCTTGGAAATTAATTGGTTCTTTTGCTTCAGGCAACAGTTTCTTCAAAGCTGGCACTTCATGTTTTAAAAGCATAAAACTGATGTATGGTTCTTGTCATCAACAGTGATTTTTGGTGTCATTTTCTTCCCTCATGTGGAAATCTTCTCTTGCACTTCTGTTTCATGTGTGTGTTTTTATTCTTAGCCTTGTAAATGGGATTTCTGTTCTTCATAAATAAATAGGTGTTTATTTTAAAATATGAATTGTGTACAGATACAATAAATGTGTTCTGCTCAGACTACAGGAAATAATTATAAAAATACCAAAGTCATTTGAAAATTTTCTTGTCGCTTTTGTTAGTTATTCCCACATCTTTCAGTAGAAACATGACATATTTATTTCTTCTCATTAGAAATTGATTTTTATAGATTTATTTCTAATTTATAAGTGAATGCTGATATAATATGTTGTAGGTAAAATGAGAATAAAGTATTTGTCACATCATGATAAAGCAGAGAGAGGAAATGAGAATGAAGCTAAATGTCCAGCAATTATATCTTCTTGCCAGCTTAAAGAAATAAGGAATTGTAATAGTTCAGCATGTCAGCATCTACTGGAAGAGAAACTTGCTCATAAGTTTGAGGAAAACGATCTTTTACATTCACATTCTGATGAATTTGAATCCGAGGAAGGTTGCACTGATCAAAAAATGGCTGGTCATCAAGCACAAACTAGCAAGCAAGAGGTAACTTCTGTTGTCACCTACATTTGTACTCTTTCTGTGTGTGTAACAGGTTAACTTTAACTTTCTATTTTGTATTGTATATATCCATTGATATTTCATTGACATATCTGTGAACACAGTAACTATATTCAACTACTGGATTGAACATCACTCTACAGACTTTTCTTTCAGGAGAGCAATACAACGATTCTGTGGAGAAAGCTAAGACATAGATAATGTGGCACAGAATGAAGTTCTTCAGATACCAAATTTCCTTGGAAAACATCATGTACAGTCAACTCCTGATTATTTGGACACAGATCATGTTGTTTCCATGTTTTTTATTTGTTATATATATAGTAATACATTTGTACGAGTACAGACATGTGAACTAGGCTTTCATCCTTTTCTTGTATCAAACAACCAGTGCAAGAGTTGGGTAGAAAATGAGAGATAGTCTCACAGTGACACACTAGTGGGAAAGGGGGAAAGGAATGCCACAGGTAGTTCTGCTTCTGAGTGTCTTTGAAGCAGCATATGCTAAAAAGCTGGGTGTCAGCCATGAATGAAGGAGGGAGATGCGATGTGCTTACCAGACATAATCTAGTAAAGGAAAAAAGAAACCTGAAGCCTTACCAAATTTATACTGCAGATAATTAGATAATTTTGGATTATGTTGGAAAGGTCTTCTTACAAGAACCCATGTTTTTGAAAAAGAGAAGTGTGTACCCAGGCAGTCATCTAAAAACAGTCTCATGGTCATATGTTGTGCAGCTGTGTCTGAAAGCCATAATATGAAACTTAAAATGACTGGGAAAGCCAAACTACAATGATGATTTTGAGGCACCAAAGTAAATGGCCTTTTTGTTTGTTACAACAGCCATAAAGGAGCAGGGATGGAAAAAGAACGTTTTTGAAAATTGGTTCCATATGAAGTTTCTTCAGAAGTTATGTGCTCCTGAAAGAAAAAGCGTTGCCCCAGAAAACAGTGTTGCTGTTAGACAGTGCACCCTTGTGTGCTCTTAAAATCTACCTGTCATAAGCTTTTGTCGCAGAATGTTAAGCAAAAAATATATGGCAGTTGTTTTTTTAGTCACTGTAACATTTTAAGTTTTGTATAATTGATATAGATGAAATAGTGATTTTTGTAGTTTGCCCTTACTGTTCCAAATTACTGTCAGATCATCAGCAAAAATTAAGAGTGCTCATGTATTCGTCCTTGGCTATTAGCATCCCTGGACATGCTAAGCTCTTCCATTGCCTTACAATGTCATCCATATATACATATGTTAGAGTGTGTGACAGACTGCAACCATGTTTGAGTCCTCACTTAGTTGAAACTTCTTTTTTCTATTTTTCATCTAATGTTTGTAACTGTATTTGTATTAGCATAGCTGTTCTGCATCCCATGTTATATGTTGTGGATACCCATTATACTGTCGTGTGTGTGTTACTGTAGATAGGGTTTGGATTGGTGAATGGATTTATTGATCACTTACACACATAACTCAGGACTACAAACACTTGCAATGCTATTGCCGATCTACACACTTTACTGATCGCTACACATTAAGTCTTCTCCAACCTGCATTGTCTTCACTAGACATTGCTTGGTAACAGCTCTCAACAATAGAGATTCTTTAGCTTCTGTGCTCACGTCATTACTGTCCAGCAAATATCCCACAACTGAACTCATTGCTCCAGCTGTCCTGGATATAATGACTTGACAGAAACCACATAGGAAAAACTGTTCTTCTGTTGGTGCATTTGTGTCCATTGCCACAAGAATGTGTTTACTGAGCTGTTGTCCAGAAATGGCTGTGGCACGGACCACATAGAAAACACCCCGTTTCCAACAGTAACTATATTGCTGTATGCAAATGCATTGCCATGGGAACGTGTTTACTAAGTCGTTGCCCAGAAATGTTTGTTTACAGAGTCTGTACTCCACAATACTTTAATAATTCTCATACTTTAATTCTGTACTTTCAAGACATATCCAGAATGTCATAACTAGATTGTTACTTACACTCCAAACTGCAGACAAGAATGAGGATATCCCTTTAAGAGATGATCATATAGAATTATGATTGGAATGAACCAATAGACCTCATTGTTGCTGCTGGTTGTGATTAATTATATCAACTTGATCAAATACTTTTACAAAAATTAAAACAACTGCTTGTGTTTCCAAATTGTGCTGTCTTCTTGCTTATATATGTTGCTTTAAAGTGAAATCATTCGTTACGCTTTTTAAAATCCACTTTGTTGATCCATTAATAAATGTTCTGATATAGTTTGGAGTCTTTTAGTTACTATCCTTGAGAACGTTTTATAACTTGATTGCATGAGGTAAATAACTGTAGTTTTCATGCTCACATCTATTTCCTTCTTTAAAAATTGTTTTATTCATTTTCCTAGGCCTCAAAGCTTTCACACCTTTGTCAACACATACACAGTATATTAACTTTAGTTTTTAAATAGGCCATCATATTTAGCGAGTTCTGCCATGATTTCATCTAGCCCCATTGCTTTTTGATTGTTACTTAATGCCAATGCTTGATTTAGTTCTTCTAAGGTGACAGGGTTTAAAGCATCTCCTGCCTTGGCTTCTGTTAGTAGCACATATTTCCCGTTAATATTTTTGTCCCACCGTAATATTTCATAAGGCATAATGCATTATTTTTCTGTTACATGCAACTTTGCAGAATCATTTTCAGAGTTATTGATTTCATCATTATATGCCTGATTGTTTACTTAATTCTTGTCCATGAACATAATATATGTAGATATTGTGGGATACACATACTTGCTCAAAGCAGTGACTGTGGAGCCAGAGAAAGAGCTGTTGCTAGGTAACGGCAGCATAACACAACAATAGAAGAGTGGTTGGAAGCAGTGTTTTCTATTAGGTTTGTGCTGATGCAATAACAACGGACTAACGAGGACTAGCTACTGGATGAGATGGCAATTAGAGTAGAAAGTTGATGTGTGATGGCTGCCTGCCTGTGAGGACATGTGCCTGGAAGCAGAGGAATGTTGACTGTTGAAAGACGTTGCCAAAGAAAGTAGTGAAGACTATGACTGAGAACACTAGCCCATGTGTGATAGTGATTTGTAAGGTGTAGCCATAAGCTGTTGAAAAAGATTCCAATAAATCTGATTACCAGTGCAGACCCTGTCTATAATTACTTCATCACATGACATATATTTTTCTTTTTCCCTTCTGTTTCATATTCTCTGTTTTGTAAAGATTTTTGTTTTTCCCAGGCTTCTTTTTCAGTTTCTGAATTCCATATTCCCAAAAAAATTTCTGATATTCTCTTTGTAGCATATGTTGAAAAACTTAATTTTTCCATTTATTTTCTTTTTTACAATTATTTTTTGTGTTAATAAAATTATCTTGCATGAGGTCGGAGGTTCTCATGATGGTGAATATGAAGATGACTATCTTCTGGGATGGCATAACATGTAGTTTGGTGGATAGGTACCACTGTTTCAGAGTAACTTGCTGGATTTTCCTGCTGTGCCATGTAATTTGGCAGGCAGGTACCAGCGTTTTGGAGGATTGTGCCAGAGACAGAGGAAGCAGGTTTCTCTCAAATAATGGTATCTGTATATCATACTACATGGCACTACATCCCAGAAGACAGTAGACTTCAAAACTGTAATAGCTATAGCTACTAAGTAAGTGAGTAGATTTACAGTGTTTCCTTTCACATCTTGGATCAGTACCTGAAGCTTTCATTAATTATAACTTTTGTTCTTCCATAAATAGTAGTACAATTGTAAGGAGTATGCCTAGTGGCCTCCGTAGTCTAGAGGTAACGTTCCCACCCCATGACTCGTGGTACGCGGGTTCAAATACCCGGCGGAGGTCGTCGAATATTTAAGGGCGGAAAAATTCAGGGAACAAGTCCTCTGGGAGGGACTTTAAGCTGTGTGTCCCGTGTCGTAACTTTACGGCACGTAAAAGAACCTCATATCCCCAAAGGGGATCACCGAGCCAAATTCCAGGATGTTTCCCGCCCAACAATAGCATCTAAGGCCTCTGATAGATGGGGGAAGCATTATAGACACCGCTAAGCAAGTGGCCGAACTCGCTTGCTCGTCGGGACTGATGGTATGCACCATTTATCGGTAGGGTAAAGAGACTGGTAGAATATCATAGAGTAACAGTATGTGTGAGTGTGACTGATAATATTGTTAATTAGAAAAAGCCTTTCCAGAAACATGCAGTTTTCATGAGAAGCAATATTAGAAAGTTATTCGGCAAGTATGGCATTGTGCCGTGTATATTGACTGTTCCAGCTGCCAATTTTCTTACTTTGAATGGTAAAATATTTTTTTCAGATCAACATTTGTTTTACGTGTATTTTAATTGTCATGTGAATACACATGTAGAAAATAAACTGTGACACAAATCCGAATCTTACATACATGAAGCTTCATTCCATGATGCAAAAGTTTATGTTTGGTGCATCCTGAGTATGGAGAGGATTACAAACGTGAGTTTAATGCAGGATTAAATAAGTATGAAAGATGTAAGGACTGCCTCTGTGGTCTAGTGGTCAGAGTTTGTGGCTACAGTCCAGAGGTCCTGGGTTCGATTCCCGGCGCTACAAGATTTTCTGAGAAGTAGTGGGTCTCAGCCTTATGAGAATAATTGAGGAGCTACTTGAAAGGAAAAGTAGCGGCTCCAGTCTAGAAAACTGAAATTAATGGCCGTGGGGATTCGTTGCACTGACCATGTGACACCCTCTATCTGCTAAAGTTGCCACTAACTTCGCTGACAAGTGGTGGTCGCTTGGTCAGTATACTTTGCTTGCAGACTAAAGCCATGGAGTTTGTTTTTTTATGAGAGATGTAAGGCAGTTGGTACAAGTGGACCAGTAACCCTCGCTCTTCAGTGTAGCTCCAGTCTCATTTTGCCACAGCTGGACAAGTAGGAAAGGAAGCAACCCCCCACATGTGGAGGATGCTAGCAGAATGGTAGTTCCCAGGCACAGTCACCAATATTTCTCCATGTACTCGTTAATAATGAAATTTTATCTTGTTATCTTGTATATTAGACTGCCTTTTGAACACAGGACATCATAAAATATTTGTCTCATGTGAAAGTGGAGCTTTTTGATGAGTTTGTTGCTATTCCTCTATCAGTAGCTTTAGATATTTGTTTCTTTTTTAACAGGATGCTGTAAGTTTGAAAATGGAGGTTGTGTCACATAATGAAACAGATTCAGAATCCTTGTATGGTCCAGTGGAATCTGTGTTCATTAAGGAGGAAGTTCTGGAAGATGAGGGAACTGATGAGGTTAGTAGTCCTTAAAAACATTTTATCACAAAAAAAACTTGACTGTAAGGTTCCATATACATGAAATGCAGGATAATTTACATGCTAATGAAGACATAGTAATGGTAGATGTCTGAATTCTGACTTCCAGAGTATCCAAATCTTGACACAATACCAATAAGGCACCCATTGTTGATTCAAGTCATGTGTGTGTTTTATGGAATGAATGAATAATTTGATTTAGTGTAGATAGTAACTACTGTAATCTCCACTTTTAAAAAATGCATCACAAGAACAGTTTCAGGTTTCTCACATGTCTATCAGCAATGAAAATCTCAAGATTCTGCTTTGAGTGGCATCAGTATTGATTTCAGTTTACCATTTTGTTTAACAATTATGTTGCAGTTGTTGAAGATAGGGATTTCAAAATGTGATATTGGAAAGAATTCAATTGGGGTATCATATATATACGTATATTTATATTACAGTTGGCCAGTTGTTTCTCATTTTATAGTGAGCAGAATTGTATGTCACATGACCTTTCTTAAGTGTCTCTGGTGGCAGAAATTGGAAACTGCTCATCTAGGAATTCACCCATCATTCAGAAACTTCACATGAAGTGAAATCAAGTAATGTTACATACCTGAAACAATAAGAATTTCTGTACTATATAATGTGGTTTGTATGCAGTGTATTTATCCCTGTAATTATTGGCTCATAATTTTGTTCATAGTGTAACCCTTTCCTTAAAAACTGGACTTCTCTTTCCTGCCTGAAAAATTTCTCATAGTTTTATTGTCCTGGTCTCTATTTCTGAGACACAGGTTCATAGCAAGAATAGTCTGGGTGGGAAAATTAAATACTGTTTGATGTTTTGAGGAAATGGGTTAATGAATATCCTATTGTTACATAGTTGTAATGTACTTGCTGTGTGTTTGGGAGGTACTTGTTTTATGTCTCAAATGGGGCACCGGCTGACACATTTTCTGTCATTTTAGTAAGCAAATTGGCTCACACCATAACTCTTCTGACTCACATTCTGAAGGTGCCCAGTCTTAATCCTGACTGAGACATTAAAAAGCATAATACGCGACCAGTCTGCAAAGTGTTAAAAATAAATTTGATTGATTTACATATGAAACATGCATACACTTCCTAATAGTTAGTGATGGAGGAACTGATCGAGCGTACCCTGCTGTGTTCTATTGATTGACAGAAATGAATAAAAATCAGCGCAGGTTTCTAGTGCAGACATAGGTCTGCCTTCATTGCCTTCCTGCTTGAAATAAAATCATAGTCGAGCAATAAATTTCCTAGCACCCTGGTTAGTCACCCGTTCATGCTTGGTTGTGTCATCCTGATCAATTTCCTGTCTTCCGATGTTTCACCGAATTTGTTCAACAATTGCATCCTCCCAACCATCATTTTCAGTTTAACATTGAAGGCTATTGTCAACGCATGAAAAGTTCGTAATTTCTTATGTGGCACATTTCCAATATGACATCGTATTCACTATTGGCCTTATTTGGCATCTCCAAATCTGAGTGTTTAAAACCATCGGGAGCAAACCGGTTCTGAAGGGTCTTTGTGCTTACTCTTCACCAAACTATCAACAAAAAACTGTACTGCTTATAAATCATCTATCCTTGCACTGACCTCCTTAGCTGCTGAAGATGATGTTAGTAGATTTTTGTGAATTGCTTCAAGGATGTAGTTTACCATCTTTGCACTATATAAGGTCTTCAGATTTGTATGCTTTCCATATCCATTGTCTGTAGCAGGGATGTGGTGTTGGGAAAGAGAAATTCCTGTTGGATATTTTTCAAAGAATCTAAATAAGGGTGTGCTGCACAGTCATCAATAACCAGTAAAATTTGGCTTGATTTCCATTGTAATTCCACATTTCAACTCATTAGTCATTTCTTAAAAATTTCAGACATCATCTATGCATTTTTTTAGCGTAATACATAACTGGTAAATTGTCCATACTGATCCTCTTAAATGCTTACCCAATAACCAATCCTTCTGTTGTATCAGTTCCTGACATGTTTGAACAGCACAACACAGTGCATGATCCGTTGCTTTCTTCGAACCAAACAGAGTTGTGTGTTTGTAGCTCAGGAACCATTCGAGCATTGGCACTGGCCTTCTTGCCATGTGCCTTCTTGAATTTTATACCAAACCTGCATTTCCATCAAGACAACCAACCATTGTTGCTTTGAAATCATTATAACTCAGCCTTTTAGGTAACTTCTCTGACTTGATTTTCAACATTGGGCCACTGATACCTTGTCCAGTTATGATAGAGAACCACTTATTTGAGGGCCTCTTCAATATCTGGAACCTTACCATCATGGTTCCATTTTTGGGGAGTTCCCTGTTTTCTGTGGCATAATGTCCATCTCGCAGTTTCTCTTGCTGCTGCAATGTAAATTTTGGAACTCCAGTTATCTGCACCAGTTGGTGCTGACTGGTGTTAGGCAGTTGTTTTTTAATTTTTTTTCAAGTAAGGCAATTTTGTCAGTGAATGTTACATCTTTCTTAGGCATTCCTGTAGGGATATAAAATTTTAAATGAAAAAATTGACATGCCATGATAGACTCACAAATGCAGTCACTGCAAGACTGAGAGCAGCTGTAGCTAGGTGTTCATTTATACTGAGTCAGTGACTCATTGATGATGCAATAATCACAAGTGCGCCATATAGTGATTTCTGTAAGGAATTTCTGGGACTAATAAGGAAGAGGGGTGAGAGGAAATGTGATGCAAATTAGACAGATGCTGTAGCCATCAACTGGTGGATTTCTGTGGAGTGACACAATTGCCTAGTTTTTGTTTTGAAATCAAAATCTACATTCCTGTTATTAAACTGACATATTTTTTGTTTTTGCAGAACGTTGTGGATACATTAAAGAACGAGATAGAATGCAAAGATGAGGCAGAGTCAGTTGTCCCGCATAGTACAGATGAGCCTGTATGGACACCTAAAATCAAAGAGAAATGGTGGCACTGTCGGAATGCACTAAGAGAGCAAGTATGTTGCCAAAAATATCAAGACACTGCAAGCAGGAGATTATCTTGTAGTGATTTGTAAAGTGTGGATATCGGCTATAGTGTTATAGTTATGACCTGTTAGTGGTCAGTAAATCCAATATGCAATCCACAACCTGTCTATAGTCGCCACTACACGTGACAGCATTGACAGTATTCAGCTTTGGCTGGGCAAAGAAAGGATGTCTTCAGCTGTGCATATTAGAGCTGATAGATGTCAGGAGGGCCTCAGAATGGTTCTGGCTCCATCATTGACAGGGCTATTTGAAGGCCCCTCACAAGATCTGGGGTTCAGTGGACCTGACAGCAGTTTTGATTGCTTTGGTTGACTAGAAAAATGTTTTTCTCCATGTCAGTACCCAGTACTCAATATCAGACTACAATGTCCTTCCTACAGGCCTAGCCTGGTTTCTATCCCACGTCATGGCAAATGGGGCTTGTGGTAAACAAAGTGGTATTGAGACAGTGTTCTTCCAAGTATTGTGTTTGTCCTGCTGATTCTCATTCTACCAACTGTTCCACAATCATAAATCATCATGCCATCTGACACTATATAGTCTTCACATATGACAGCGTTACATCTTACAATATAGTACTCTCCAACGTATGGAGTCAGAATATCTCAGTTGGTATAGCGACAGATTAAGGGGTGGGCCATGAAATCCAGCCCCCAGACTGCAGTCTTCATTGTTCTATTGTGCTTCCCCTTTGGATTAACCCTTTATTATAACTGGGACTGATAGATGACCCAACCTGTGAAAGGTGCCTATAAGAAGATGAACGACCACACATATCCTATGTGATTGTAAGGCCATAGCTTATTTAAGATTTCGTCACCTGGGCCAGTTCTTCATGGAACCAAATGACTTTTATGATGATCCCATAAAAAAAGTTCCACATTTCATTTGAAGTGTAGGATTAATAAAGGGTTAATTCAAAGGGGAAGCACAATAGATCATTGAAGGTCGCAGTGCAGGGGCCGGATTTTATGGCCCACCCCTTACACACATAAAGCCCTTTATTATTCCTACACTTCAAATGAAATGTAGGACTTTATTTATGTGTGCGTCATAAAAGTCACTTGGTTCCTTAAAGAACTAAACATGAAAGAAAGAATTAGCATGCTGTTTAATAGTTCCAAAAATTTATGATACTATACTGAGGTTCCAGAAAGAAGGCTTGTGGATTAATGTGTTCCGCATCTTTTTCAAGCTGTCACAGTTCCCCCTCCAGAGGGGCTGGAGGGGAAGACAGAGGGTTAATACTTGAGGGCTGTCATCCCTCCTATCCATGGGATTTCTTTCTGTGGCCTCAGTGTAATTATTTTTGTTGTATGTGGAATTTGTTTTTGTAATAGAAGGGAAACAAAGAATGGTAAAAGTATTTATAATGATAAGGATCAAGGAATGAAATTGTTGATCAGTGTACTACTTTTTTGAACACTGAATACATAGTTCTAATGGTGATCATGTTTCTAATGTCTTGTAATACAGTATAAGTATTAAATGGGAGCAAGATTGAAATCATTGAAGCACTTCTTTTTCACAGAGTGTTGTGAGTCTGCATAATACAGCAACAACATTGAATGACGTGGATGATCCCAAATCTGTTCATAGACCAATTGAATCTATATATATTAAAAAGGAAAATGTCCAGTCAGACACTGATGAGGAGGTAAGAATATTTTTAAAACAGAATGCTTAAATTTTTTTAAGAAAACATGTTTTGTATAACAAATAAATTCTTAAACTAACACATATTGGGTTTGTATACTGTCAAGTTCATTGTCTTGCTTTGGTTAATGAAACCAAGAATTTTGAAAGCTGGTTTTGTTTCTGTCATCAGGTGAAAATATGAAAAATTTGGCTCTGTTAGGCAGGGCAAATCTCAGTGTTATCCCCATCATTCTGATTGCCATGATAATGTATGGCAATGAAGTTTATCATTGTGCAGTTCTCTTTAACCTGCTGTTAATCCTCAATCTTGCAATCAAATATTGTGCAGTTCTCTTTAACCTGCTGTTAATCCTCAATCTTGCAATCAGATATTGTGCAGTTCTCTTTAACCTGCTGTTAATCCTCAATCTTGCAATCAGATATTGTGCAGTTCTCTTTAACCTGCTGTTAATCCTCAATCTTGCAATCAGATATTGTGCAGTTCTCTTTAACCTGCTGTTAATCCTCAATCTTGCAATCAGATATTGTGCAGTTCTCTTTAACCTGCTGTTAATCCTCAATCTTGCAATCAGATATTGTGCAGTTCTCTTTAACCTGCTGTTAATCCTCAATCTTGCAATCAGATATTGTGCAGTTCTCTTTAACCTGCTGTTAATCCTCAATCTTGCAATCAGATATTGTGCAGTTCTCTTTAACCTGCTGTTAATCCTCAATCTTGCAATCAGATATTGTGCAGTTCTCTTTAACCTGCTGTTAATCCTCAATCTTGCAATCAGATATTGTGCAGTTCTCTTTAACCTGCTGTTAATCCTCAATCTTGCAATCAGATATTGTGCAGTTCTCTTTAACCTGCTGTTAATCCTCAATCTTGCAATCAGATATTGTGCAGTTCTCTTTAATCTGCTGTTAATCCTCAATCTTGCAATCAGATATTGTGCAGTTCTCTTTAACCTGCTGTTAATCCTCAATCTTGCAATCAGATATTGTGCAGTTCTCTGTAACCTGCTGTTAATCCTCAGTCTTGCAATCAAATACCCTCCTCAGTATCCTCTTCTCAGCTGTCATCAACCTGTATTTTGGAATGAGAAACAAAGTGTCACACCTATACAAAACACAGGTAATATTATATTTTAAACTCATGTTTTGGTAGAAGATGGGAATACCAAAGATTTCACACCAAATTTTAGAAAGCATTCTTAAAATCCGCTATGCCCAAGTGGGATTTGTGGTGGACAAAGTGGTGCTGGGGCAGGTTTTCTCCGAGTACTTTGTTTTCCCCTGCCAATCTTCATTCCACCAATTGCTCCACAATCACTCTCATCTGTCATCTGGGGCTGGTACAATAGGCCAGAAGTGGCCGCAGTACGAGGGACTTAGTCCCACCCCACTAGCAACAATAAAGATAAAGCCCTTAATGTCTTCCTGAATGTAATTTTTATTGTTACTTTGTTCCAAGTTATCATTGTTGTCTTGGTTGAGTTTTTTCATGGTTCTACATGACTACCAAAATAGCAACACAGAATGGGCCTTAATTTTTTTGTTTCTGTCCATTTCCATTCTTTGCACATGGTCATCCTCTTATCCTGTTTGACATTCCATAACTCCAGTAGTCTATTGTGTTACTTAGCACTTTCTGTGCTACAAATGTACATGTTAGCTGAGGGTACAGTGAGTAAGGTTGAGTTACATTGAGTTAATTTAGGTCATATTAATTTAACTTGGGTAAAGTTAGGCAAAGTTAGTTTACATTGTGGTAGGTTACAGACATACATATACAGGTGGTGGACAAAATAATGGAAACACTATGAAATTGAATAGAATTTGTTTGTGTTGGCTACATTGAAAGAACTTCAGCTGGCAACACTGAATACTCCTCTCTTTGTTTAAACTCTGTAGTGATTGTGTTGAGTGAAAGAATTGGGAAATGGGAGACTTGTCTGATTTTGAAAAGGGACAGATTTTTGCTGTGCATTTAGTTGGAGCATTTGCCACAACAACTACCACAGCAGGTTTATTGAGAGTGACATTTTCTAAGGTTATGTTGGCGTACACGAATCATGGGAAGAGGAACAGTGGGAGAAAATCAGCATGAACAGAAAGAGGTCATTGTACATTGAGAAGGATTGTTTTGAAAAATCACAGAACTAATGCAGTACAGGTGACAGCAGAACAGAATATTCATCTTGAGGACCCTGTTTCCACAGGAACCGTCTGATGTGAGCTTCACAAATCCAGCATCCATGGTAAGGCTGCAATTGCTAAACCTCTTATTACTGAAATTAATGCTCAGATACAATCACAATGGTGTCACTTCCATAAAACATGGACACCAGACAACTTGAAACGCTGTGTGATATGGTCAGATAAGCCATCGTTCATGCTGTTCTATACATGAGGAATTGTTTACATTTGGAGAACACCAATGGAAGCCTACAATCTAGAATGCCTAGTTCCAACAGCGAAACATTGGGGAGGTTCTGTGGTGGTGTGGGCAGCAGTATTGTTGTGCAGTATTCTGTTTGTTGCATTCTTACCCTTCATGACCAAATTACTGCAAGAGAATATGTGGACAGGGGGCCACATGGTAGTGTAGTTGGTTGAGGTACTATGCTACAAATGGAAGGTCGCAGGTTCGATTCCCAATGAGGTCATTGGATTTTTTCAATTTACCTAATCCTTCCAGCAGCACTATGGCCCTGGGTTTGAATCAACCTGTAACAGAAATGAGTATCAGGAATCTTCGTGGGAGTAAAGGGCAGCCAGTGTGTAAGGCTTACATCCTTACAGCCATCTGTGATCCAATTGTCTTGAAAATATGGCAGCCTCAACATCTCAACCCTATGGGCCTTTATGGCATGTTACAGGGATAGCTTTACCTTAGCTTTATGTGGATAGGTTGGGTAATGAGGCACATCCCATGGTCCACACGTTATTTCAGAATGACAACGCACTTTACGAGAATGACAACGCCCCCATTCACACAGCTGGAACTGTTGCAGTCATGATTTGAAGAGCGGAAGGGGAACTTCAACATCTTCCTTGGGCAGCACAATCACCATATTTGAACATCATTGAAGCACTGTGGTCAGTTCTGGAGACTAGAGTGAGGGACAGATTCCTACATCCAACATCTCTCAAGTAACCTGAAGATGTTCTTCAAGAAGAATGGTATAAAATTCCACTAGAGACTGTTCAAAACTTGTATGAGTCCATTCCAAGAAAGATTGCAGCTGTACTGAAGGCAAAAGGTGGTCCAACACCACATTAATAAAGAAATTTGTACAGTATTTGTAGTGTCTTTATTATTTTGTTCAGCCCTTGTATGCTCTCTGACACTTCTGTATGTTAAATTAGCTGCAGGAAAAATCCTAATACCAGATGGGTTAATAATATATAATAAATTATTATTTCAGTTCACATTTACCTTTGATAATCCGTAAATTCTGCATTTTAAGGTGTGCTATTTTAACATGAATGAAAACATAAATAGTGCAGCTGCTGTAGCCTGGTGAATTTATTTGGAATGATCTGCTTGTCTGCCTGCATAAGCTGTTGTAAAATAGAAACCAATTTTCTTTTCATTACTTACTTACTTACTTACTTACTCATGGAGCTGAGCCCTTCTTGAGGAGCTGCCAATTCTGCAGCTACTCAATAATTTCCCAGCATTTTATGGAACCCGAAGGTTCATTACTGTGTTCACAAGAGCCCTCCACTGGTCCCTATCCTGAGTGAGATCAATCCAATCAATACCATCCCATCCTATCTCTCTAAGATCCATTTTAATATTGTCCACCCACCTACTCCTTGGTCTTCCCAGTGATCTCTTTCCTTCTGGCTTTCCCACCAATATCCTATGCACATTCCTCATCTCCCCCATTCGTGCTACATGCCCTGCCCACCTCATCCTCCCTGACTTGATCATTCTGATTATACTTGGGAAAGAGTACAAGTTATGAAGCTCTTCATTATGCACTTTTCTCCAACCTCCTGTCACTTCATCTCTCTTCGGTCCAGATATTCTCCTCAACACCCTGTTCTCAAACACCCTCAGTCTATCTTCCTCCCTTAATGTCAGAGACCAAGGTTTACACCCATACAGAACCACAGGCAAAATTAAGCTATTTTAATTTTGTTTTTTTTACAGCCTACTGAGGCGACAGTTAAAATGGAAAGCATATCAGATGAGGAACCAGATTGTATCATCTCACATAGTACAGAACGTGTGTTGGCATTTAAAATCAAAGATAGATGGCATCACTGTCAGAATGCATGGAGACCTGAAGTAAGTTGTAGAATATCCAATTTGTAAATGAACTTACTGATTTTAAAATAATGTTTCATGCACAGTTCATATCTGTGTGATGAATTTGGGGAAACCCATGGAAATGGAGATAATTATGGAAGATAATCCTGTAAAACTCACAGAGTACAGAACCTTATCAGAAAGAACCAAGATTGGGGAAACCCATGGAAATGGAGATAATTATGGAAGATAATCCTGTAAAACTCACAGAGTACAGAACCTTATCAGAAAGAACCAAGATTGGGGAAACCCATGGAAATGGAGATAATTATGGAAGATAATCCTGTGAATCTCGCAGAGTACAGGACCTTATCAAAAAGTATGAGGAGCATTCCATATATAATGCCTCCATATTTTTAAATGAAAACTACAACAGATACAGAAATCATAATAACGCAGTTAAATAGAGCAAAATTTCAGCTACTTATAGTTATTTTTCCACATAATCACCACCATTTGTTATGCACTTTTGCAAGCGATGAACAAGAGCCTGTATGCTGTGCCTGTAAAAGTCTGCGCCGGTAGAGACTATCCACTTTCTTACAGCTGCAATGACAGCATCGTTGTCTGGAAAATGTTGCCCATGTAGCCCATCTTTCATAGGCCCAAAGAGATGGAAGTCTGAAGGTGCTAAATCAGGGCTATAAGGTGGATGTGGTGGGACAGTCCAGCCAAACTTCGCAATGTGCGCAGTGGTCGCCAGACTGGTATGGGGTCTAGCGTTATTGTGTTGCAAGCGAAAGGTTGTCTGCTTCTCTGGCCTGACTTGGGAAATGCGGGCTTTCAGCTTAGTCAGCGTCATCTTGTAGCGTTCAGAATTGACAGTCTCACCAGGCTCCAGGAAATCCAACAAAATCACACCCTGCCTATCCCAAAAGACCAAGCACATCACTTTCCCTGCCGATGGCTGTGTCTTGAACCTCTTTTTTTCTTGGGGAATGCAGATGTTGCCACTCCATGGACTGTCTTTTGGATTCCGGCTCGTACTGGTGACACCACGTCTCATCTCTGATGACGATGCTGTCCAGAAACTTGTCACCTTCAGCCTCAAACTGGTGCAGCAGGTCCTGACAGACTTCCATTCAATGAGTTTAATGGTCCTGTGTAAGCATCCGCGGGACGCACCTGGAACAAACTTTGCGATAATCCAGCTTCCCCAACATCGTTTCCAATGCATTACAGCTGATATTAAGCCATTCACACAGATCTCTGGTCGTTATCTGCCGATCTATATGGATGAGCTGATCAAGGCTCTGTTCATTGTGAGGAGTGGCAGCTGAGCAGGGACGCCCAGAACGTGGCTTATCGTGCACTTCACTGTCGCCACTGTTGAAATGCACTACCCACTGTCTTACTATGCTGACATCCACTGTATCGTCTCCATTCACCTTTCGCAAGTGTCGATGGATGTCAATGGGTGCAATTTGTTCGGCAGTGAGAAATTGAATGACACATCTCTGTTTCGTGCACACTTTTATGTCCTACTCCATTTTGGTAGACTGCTCTGCTGTTGCTATCTGTTGCATCAACCAAACTAATGGTACATTGGCGGGAAGGTTCAACCTTAACTACAACACCAGCATCCAGCTCAGATGTTACATATTAACACAAAAAAATAGGAGGCATTATATATGGAACGCCCTTCATACTAAGATTGGGGAAACCAATGGAAATGGAGGTAATTATGGAAGATAATCCTGTGAAACTCACAGAGTACAGAACCTTATCAAAAAGCAGTAAGATTGATTTTGTGAAATCTGAGACAGCATGCTTAGAGGGATGGAAATTGATTCCCTTTATGTAGCTTCTTCAGCACAAACATACTTCTTGTATCATCCCTGCCAGTTTTGTTTATACAGATAACTGGTCTGGTGCATTGTGTTCACTTGTATCCACAACATGAAATCTTTTGCATTGCATGGTTGTCATAAGAGAGCAGTAATAAACTTCGGGAAGACAAAATTTTGATTAGAGGGGCTGTCTGACTTCTGGAATGTTGATTATCTAAAAATAACTGTATGATTTGTATGAGTGGGCAGGTGCATTGTTATGCAAATTTGTCACCTGCTAGTTACCCACTTTTTGCAGCCATATGATGCACTGCATCATGGAGAAGTTTACACTTTTAGAAATAGAAATGGAAATCAATATTCTGATATGGTTTAATACTCTGATATCAGTGAGAAGTTTGGTGTGGCAGTAACATTCCAGAGTTGCATTTGGCACATGTGTGGCTGGAATCTCAGCTGACACACTGGCTCTCCTGACTAAGGTGTTTCATCAGTTCCCCAGTCCCTCCAGGTAAATCTCATGATAGTTAATCATGATTTTTATCTGTCAGTTCTGGGACATCTGCAGGAAGCGAACTCCTGTATCATGATGATGTGCCTGCTCACATAGCACTGTCAGTCAGTTCTTGGCGAAACGTTTACTTATGACCCTTCCACAATTCTCCTATTCACCTGACCTCACCTATTCTGACGTTTCTATTCCCTAAACTCAAAATTACCCATAAAGGAAGATTTCAGACATTGGAGTACATGAAGAAAGCAGTCTTCTGGGATTTGGCACCATGTAATGTGGTGTTAACTGACGTTTCAGAGGAACGTATCGCCTCCATCTTCAGGGTAGAAGGAAAAATATAAGAAATCAGCAAGCGAAGAGACCGTGAGAACTGGTAAAAGCAGTTCCTCTGAAACGTTGGTTAACACCGCATATACACGGTGCCAAATCCCAGAAGACTGCTTTCTTCATAGTCACCGCCGTGAAAACCTCAAATCTTACATTGGAATACATCATTACTAATGCAACAAGTGACTTTTAGGTGATACCACAAACATCCTTTGAACAGAGCTTCAGAAATGGAATACGGTAGTGGGAGAGGAGCATTGCTGCACAAGACAGACTATTTTGAAGGGAATAATATTTAATATGCTTCAAGAAAAGAAAGATGTTATTTATAGACAAATTTCAGGAACTTTCTGAACAATCCTCATATGTGCACTTCACTGGTGTCTGAATGATTATATTGGTTTTATTCATACTTTGCATTTAATAGTGTCTCCATAATAGGCTCATGCCTGGTGCCTAAACACTAATAGTGTCTCCATAATAGGCTCATGCCTGGTGCCTAAACACAAATTGTGATTTTCTTGAAAATGTCTTCAATGATCTGGATTAAATTTAAGTAGTTTATGGAGACCATCTCTCTAAATATAACTGAATAGGTGATATCTTCAGAAAATTAATAGTATTGTCACATGTTTGGGTGACTTGAGACGTGGGTTTGGATTGGTAATTGGATTTATTAACAACCTACAGGTTGTAACTACAAATAATTATTGCATTCTTGCTGATTTACACAATTTACAATCACTCCTCACTAATCTTCTTAGTCTGTTTCTGCTGGTCTTCACTGTCCACTTCCTGGCAATGGATTTATAACATGGGAACTATAAAAGTCTCACTAAATTACACACTCCCAATTCCACTGCACTAGAGCATGCATAAAGTTAACTCTTCTTCTAATACAAACTTCCCGTGTCTGTCTCCTACTGAGAACTGTTCTGTAGAGCTCATGATCTTCAAGATAACTCCTCTGCATGAACTCCATGGAAAACACCGTCTCCCATTGTGGACGCATGTTTACCACTGCATTGCCTGGCAATGTGCTTTTGCTCATTGTGGACTGCATAGGAAACACAGTTTCCCTTCTGTTGTTGTGGTTTGTTTACCAAGCCATTGCTCAGCAGTGCAGTGATCAAATCCGTTACAGTATGCCCTCTCGCAGGCCAAAAGTGAAATGTAAATTTTCTTGTAAATGGCTTGACCACTTTTGATTAAATTCTAATTGTGTATAGAAGTAATGGACCCAAATTATATTTTATAGACTAAAATATAATACAAAGGGATAATGTTCATTGATCTCAGTGTAATATGATGTGAAGATGCGAACTTGATTCATCTTTCTCAGGTTAGGGTGAACTCAGTAATGAGCTTTTGGGTTCCCTAGAGGGCAGGAGATTTCTTGATAAGCTGTTACTAGCTGAGTGATTATCAGTTTTTATGAGTTACTCTGCTCCATGTAGTTGGTTATTCAGTCTTGAAGATTATATATCCTTTATACTTTTCTGAGCAACAAGTGAAGTATGCTTGCCTTTATATGCATATGATGTTCATACTTAGATGTTCTTCATGCAGAACATGTCAGACTCGCAAGATACAGAGACTTCAATGAGCAGTGAAGCAGTTTCTGCGTCAGATCATTTTGCATTTGAGTCTGCATACATTAAGAAGGAAGACATCAATTTGGAGAGTGATGATGAGGTAAGTTGCTGGTAGATATTGGTAGGTAGATAGCTTTAGTTCAACCCATCCTCGGTAGTGATAGTTGTCTTGCAGGATCTTAGGTGCTGCACCTGTCACTAGTGCTGCAAGTGAAGTTTGTTAGTTGGGACTAATCACATTGGTCTACAACTCTCCTTCCAGAGATGAAGGATGATTATATCTGTTCCAGATGTGTGAGTTGGTACAAGTTTAAGTTATAAGATACAGAGTTTTAGTTAGTGTTAATTGTAATGATATATATTTGGTACGTACTGCAGTTGGTTTGCCTTATTTTGTATGTTTTTTCACTGGCATATATGGATACTTTTGCCAGGGACTGGCTGAAAATACACAATAAACAATGCTATGCATCAAGCTGTGAATGTGTTTAGGTGATCTTGGAAAGTTGATCTTTTTTTGTAATTATTATAGTATAAATTTAGGATATTCTAAAATTACATTTCTTATTTTGAAGTTATATGAGGTAATTATTAAAGTGATCAAATCGAGGAAGATGGATGAATGGGGCATATGACACAAGTGGGAGAGATAAGAAATGCATATAGAATCTTGGTTAGAAAACTTGAAGGGAGCAGACCTTTTGGAGACATAGCAATAGGTAGATGGACAGTATTAAAATGGTTCTTAAAGAAACAGATTATGATGTTGTGGACTGAATTTATGACTCAGCATAGGGTGCTGTGGTGGGCTCCTATGAATGTGATAATGGCCATCTGATTCCATAATTAGGAACAATTACTCAAAGAACTCTTACTTTCTTTATGATTAAGTTTACAGTGGAACTATGTGTTCTAGTCTCCTCTTCCAGAATTTGTTTATATTTTTGTACATTTTCCCTCAGAATCTGTTGATTCATTCAGTCATTCAATTTGTTCCCCTCTGTATGTGCATATGTATGAGACAAATGTGATTCCAGTGTGAGAGTTAAGACAACCCTTGTTCATATTTCATTTATTTGATTTTAGTTATCTTTTCACAGGACAGCTCAAATTCTGAAGCTTCAGATAATAAAGTGCATGTTAAGAAGCAACGAAGAAAGAGGGTGAGTTTTCAGCAAGTTCCCCCTCCACCCTCTTTTTTCTTCTTTTTCTTCCTAAAATTGTACCAGCTTTCACATGTCTTGGCTGATTACCTTGGTTGCATGGTAGCAAGTATTGTCATGTGTTCAGCTAAACCAGTAAGCTTTAGTCAGTCTTGACTGTTGAAAGCCTGTTTCATAATGTTGATTTCTGTTCATCTCTTCATAAAATTATAAAGTGTTTCTTTGAAGTAGCTTTTGGAGTATTGGTCTTAATCATATTCTATTGCAGTTCTGAAAATGGAAGTCTAAGAATGCAAGTGTTGAGTTTGCATAAACGAGTCAACATTTATTTGGGTATTTTAAGCAGGAATAGTACTGGATCTGCAGCTTAGTAACTCTTTCTTAACACATCCTTCAAGCTCTGTCTCTCATAGCACAACCTTACATGAATGCTGTTAAAATAAAACATATGTAATATTTACTGGTTTCTGTGTCTGTACGGATACATAACAGATTTGGAGGAGACCCAAAATTTCCTGTTTCCTTTATCAACTAATGAAATATGAAGTCCTGTGAATTGTTGAGTTTAGACTTCAGAATGGGAGGGGATGTGTATTGTAACATGTAGACCTGTTACTGGGTAACATCTTTGAAACAAACAATGAAACAACAGATTGTTAATAAGCAAGTGTATGCAGCTGTTACTGAGTAACATCTTTGCAAACAAACATGTTCTCTTGGAAATGACTGGAGTGCAACAATAAACAGTGTGTTCTACACAATCTGTGCCAAGGGTTTATCAATGGGACAGGTTTAGAAGTTAGTCAGTTGTAAGGGAGTCTGTGAAGAGAAGACTTTGTTGGTGCAGTTGGAAGCTGAAGAATCTCCATTGTTAAGATCCATTACTGGGAAATGACAGCAGACTGAAAAGACTTAGTGTGTGCTGTAGTGATTTGCAAATCATGGAAATTGGCGCTAGTATTATAGTTACTTGTAGTTATGACCTGTAAGTGGTCAGTAAATCCAGTTTCCAATCCAAATCCCATCTTTAGTCACCCATAATCATGACAGTATATTATCTAAATTGGCAGGAATTTGATGGAAAGGTATGTGGTTTCCTACTGTGGTGTGTAACTAGGGGTAGGTTTTTGATGTTCACAAGTTATGTTTTGCATAGGACAGATTAGGTATTTCATAAATCAGTCATGGATGAATCTGGAAATTCTGTCATTGGGTTTGTTACTTGTTTATAAAATTATAACCTTCAGAGTATACAGTTTGTCATCAGACACACTGTACCCACACATGATCCTGTAGCTCTAGGGTGATGACTAATCACAGCAGGATGATGCAGCAGAAAGAATGATAATTAGGAAGCGCGCCACTTGGCAGCACAACTTACTCGACATTGCTGAGACGTCGAGTTGGCGCGCTATATCAGAAGTTCCGAAACTTTCTGAACAGACCATGTATGAGCTGTACTTTTTGGCAGGCCACACTGAGGAACCAGGCTTGCTTCTAATGAAGTGCCAATATCATCAAATTGTTCCTCATTTGTACATGTCTTTTATTTTAGTACAACATCAACCCATAGAGTGCAATTTTGTTATGATATTGTAAATCGTTGCTTTATATAACACTGTACTGTCAGGATATTTTGTGTGAAACTTTCTGCAATACTTTCTCCATGAAGAATGCTGTACAGAGGAACTGTGTATGAATAATTTCTCTTCAACGTTATAGTTCGTTTTTGAACACTGTGTTCCATAATACTGAACTGTATTTGTGTGTATCTCAGACAGGTAACCGTGCTAAACATCAGTGTTATCTATATAAATCACCAAACTCTGGGTGACAAAGCGATGGTGAAGCAACCGGCAGTGGACAGGCATGAGCAAAAACATTTCTAGCTGACCAGTCTAGGATACATTGGATTCTCTGTAGAATAATATGATTTGATCATCAGAAAGTTGTTAGGTTACATTTTACAATAATTTCTGATACTCTTGCTCCAGTAGGAAATTCAGACACATTCAGTTATCTCTTTGCACATGAGATAACTTACAGAGGAGCTGTGTAAATGCCATTATTCTGGAGTCTTCGATTTAAATTATAAGTACAAGTTGTTGACCGCCTCTGTGGTCTAGTGGTCAGAGTTCCTGTCTACATATCCATAGTTCCCGCATTCGATTTCTGGCGCTACCAGATTTTCTAAGAAGTAGTGGGTTTGGAACGGGATCCACTCAGCCTTGTGAGGATAATTGAGGAGCTATTTCAAGGAAATAGTGGCTCCGGTCTAGAAAATCGAGATTAACGGCTGTTGGGATCCATTTCACTGCCCATGTGACACCCTCTATCTCCAAAAGTTGGCACTAACTTTGCCGACAAGCGGCAGTCACTCGATCATTATAGTTTGCTTGTGGACTACAGGCCATGGAGTTTGCTTGGAATACAAGTTGTTATTAATAACCAGTACTGTGGTAGAAGAACCTGAAGGTTCAATGCCACAAATATCAAAGCCTCTTATTGGAGAGAGTCTTGAACAATTTCAGTCCCCATCCCCAGTCCTCATAGTCTACTTCCCTTCTGTCTATTATAATATTATTTTCCCTTCTCAATCTTCCAAGTGGCCATTTTCCATGAGGTTTCTCCAGCATGTGTCTGCTTGCGTCTGTGTCTGCCTTAACCTTAGCACATGCCCAGCCTATTGTAACTTCTTGTGTAACTGTCGCTGCAACTCCTGGTCCCTGTCAGTGTGCTAGCTGTGTGATACTGCAGCTCTTCTGTTTGGACATTATCCTTTAGTTTTGGTTTAGTATGATGCATGATGCTTCAGCTGGCATGAGATATGTATCTCAGAGTTTGACACATGTAGTTATGTAGCAATTGTAGAGGGTCAGGTGACACTGGTTTGTTGTAGTGGTAGTTCATATAAATAAAACAAGAATAGATAATGGTTATTAATATGTCAGTAGTTTACTGCTGAGGTCACAGACTTCTGCTATACTCTTGAGTAGTTTTAATTACATACAGGAAATTCACAGTAAAGGTAAAAGGTAAAGTTGTCCCTATGCTTAACTAATTAAATACTCTGCCATGAAGGAGTATGGAGGAGTGGATGTATAGATCCACATTTTCTTGACCTTGGCACTAGCTGGAGGTGAGTGGTCAGCTTCACACCCCTGCTGCTTTATCCCCGGGGAAAGAGCTCCCATACTCACTAGATAGGAGGCTGGGTGGGCCCCAGAGCTGGTCTGGATGACGTGGAGAAGAGAAAATTCTTGACCCTACTGGGACTCTAACTCTGACCCCTCCGTCATCCAGCTCATAGCCAGTAGCTGTACCGACTGAGCTGTTCTCACATTGATTTACCACTCTACAGAACACAGTTTTATTGTTGTAAGTTTTGGTGTACATTCTAATTAATAATGTGCTCTGCTTTGCTTGGCTGTTGCTACTTTATTTTTTCATGGCTTCTTGAATCTGAAAAAAAATTAGTATGTGAGGTGGCCAAACTGAACTGCTGATCTTCTTGATTCAGCAGTTAACTGGTGATCTTAATAGCATTTAAAGTTGAAGTAAACACTCAGCCAAACTTCTTAATCATGCCATCAGCTATGTCAGGTACTGTTATTAACAACCTGGAATTTGAACTACAGCCATCCAATGTGCATCTCACACAGCCAATTACCTTGGATTTCACTGTCCTAACAAAAGAAGTTTATCCATTTAAAGCAGAAAGGTCTTCATTCCATAATATCCTAAACTGGTCACTTAATTAATCCTTGTTAGGTCCAGATATTCTCCTGTGTATCTTATTTTCAGTCACATGTAATTTCTGTTCTTTCCTCAAGCTAAGATACCACAGTTCACACATATTCAAAACAAGGAGTGAAATTACTGTTTTGTATATCTGATCTTAGGTAAGATTGTCCCTTTGTTCAATGAATTAAGCACTATGCCATGAAGGCATATGGGCGGGTGGATGTATTTTCTTGACCTTGGCACTAGACAGAGGTGAGTGGTCAGCTTCACACCCCTACCACTTTACTCCTGGGGAAAGAGCCCCCAGTACCCATTGGATAGGAGGTTGGGTGGACCCCAGAGCCGGTCTTAACGATTTGGAGAAGAGAAAATTCTCGACCCTATCAGGACTCAAACACTGACCCCTCAGTCGTCCAGCTCGTAGCCAGTACCTATAAAGTTTTGAATCTGAACAAGCATTTTCATAATTTATTCTTCCTCTCATCTAATTGTGAATATCGTTTCTGTGAAATTTGAAGTTCTCATGGCAGTGAGCATTAAAATTGCAATCTGTGATGTGAGGCCATGTAGTTTGGTAGGTTTTTTTTTTTTTAGTAGGGTGGGACTAAGCCCCTTGTGCTGCGGCCACTTCTGGTCTATTGTACCAGCCCCAGATGATAGGTGAGGGTGATTGTGGAGCAATTGGTGAAAGGAAGATTGGCAGGGGAAAGCAAAGTACTTGGAGAAAACCTGCCCCAGCGCCACTTTGTCCTCTTCCAGCTGCACTATGGCCCTGGTGGGATGGAACCTGGGCTACCGCACTGGGAAGCCAGCAACTAACCACTTGAGCTATGGTGCAGAGTTTGGTAGGTAGGTACTCACATATTGGAGGGACCCAGAAGACTAATTTTAATGCTCTTCACCGTGAGAACCTCAAATCTCATATAGCAATATTATGTTTAAGAAGACACATAGGAAACATGCTTTGTGTTGTGTTGTTACTGGTAGTGCTAGTGGGGCAGCAGTTGCAATGTTGATGGTGATGATGGTGCCTCTTTTGGTTATAGTAACAGGAGTATTTTCACAGTGAATAGAACTTGTCAGGTACAGATTCTGTCAACAGTGAATGTGTTGGCTATATCATCACAGGTTCACTATCACCACATTTTTCAATCTCATTTGAACACCATGGTGATATATCGAATCTGGTGCTTCAAATTACTTTTTTATACATAATTTAATAATTTACTGGACAAAATATATTAAGGAGCAGAAAC